CTTATTGTGTCTGGTTCTCTGAAGATTTCATTTTGTACAAACACACTTTGGAACTTTTCATTTAATGTTTCACACATTTCCTTTTCATTTCATTTCGTGTGTGTGTGTGTGTGTGTGTGTGTGTGTGTGTGTGTGTGTGTGTGTGTGTGTGTGTGTGTGTGTGTGTGTGTGTGTGTGTGTGTGTGTGTGAAATGACCAGTTTCTGCTTGCTGCCTGCCTGAGAGTAGGAGATTATTACCTAAGTCTCCATATTGTCTTATACCTCACAATATTATTATCTCTTTCTAAACTAACTTTTACATAATTATAAAAATGCTAAAAAATCCTTGGAAGTCGCAGTCATAACTACCTATAGATCACAGTACATCCTTCACACTCGTATTCCTTCTAAATAAATGCACACAAGCCTACCCTGATTTGCATATCACACTACATATTAATCACTAACTTTTCGTATGTAAATTATTATAAGAATTTAACATAATGCTGAACATTCTTAATTTCAAATTAATCAATAAATTTGTATACAGCTTTACCTAATTATTCACTTCAACTCACATATGTACATGACGCTAAATGTGCGCACATCACGTCTCCTTAGTAATGTCTTTGTTTAATCCCCAAAGTATGCAAATTACGTGTGGAAATTAACATGGGAATTAAATTTTAATTTATGGCTATCCTAATCCATATCTCTCAAATGTAAAAAATAAATTATATAATTGTATCATCAAATAAACTATTAATTTTTTGTTAGGAAACCAAGTGGTTTATAATACAAGAAACTACTTCTAAATACCATTGCTCTAATGGTGTGGCGAGACTATTGAAGAACTGAAGAGTACTTACCTGTAGCCATGGTGTCGTTATCGCTTCTAATTTCCTTCTTGAGTTCACACCAAGGCGTATAGGAAAGGTCTAGGCTTGGCACGATATAAGAAGAGCGTGTTTAAGATGACAATGACAATAGACTTGCCCCATCTTTAATAGACCGACGTGGAGGGAACAGGTCCAGTGGGTCGTCAGGGGAAACGTGTCTTCCATTTTAACCTGTCACTCACATCAGGATGTGAGTGACATAATAAAACTCATCTCTGTCAGTCTAAGAGGAGCAGGTTGGAGGTTGTTAACCGCCAGGTAACGAGTATAGTACTGGTGAAGAACGGCGGTAATGTGTTCGTCTCTTGAGACACGACACTAATGGCGCCGCGTCCCTCACACGACTTGCACAATGGTTCTTTTATATTCATTACAAATTTACATATTTTAGTACCTTGAAAAGATATATAAGGAATTTACAGTACTTTTTAAAGTAAATTGAAATAGAACAATATAATGACCACTTAACATTTACAAGTAAAACAAACGAAAATGTAAAATTATCTATGGCTTCAAACTTCAGTTTCGACACATCATTGGGTTCGTGTCTTGTAAACCTCCTTGGATTCATTTAAGAATAAACCCTAATTAATTTTAATTATTTTTGTAATATCAATTTTAGATGTCTGTGGCACTATCGACGCTACTGTGCCCAGGTGACACATTATAATTAATGTTTTGCATATAATTGGATACTAACATAGTGGCACTCGACACACTTCAAGTGTTAATAATGTAATGATATATCTGTGAAGGGAAGACCCACATTACTACAGATAATTGTTAAAAAAGTGCACTTTTCTCTCTCAACAACCTCGAATGTGACAATTATAAGTGACGCAAACAAATTATTATTTGTATCATCATAATTCACAATGACGATGAAACAATATATGAGAAGTAGATGTTGCGATCTAGAGTTGACTTCACGTTTTCTGGTATCCTTGGTTCTCCCATAACAATAACAATGATTATGTTATAATCATCGAACTTTCCAAAATAACGATGTATCAAATAGGTCAACAAATCAATAAATATGAAAGATGAGGCCAATCGTCCTGGAAGCGTGGCAACTGTGGCTGGTGGCCTGTAGGAGCCGCGTAAGTCAATGACACCATCAGGAGAAGCCTCACAGCTGCTCGATGTGTGACCCAAGCCGTCTCCTCAGACCAGATGAGCTCTGAGTGAAGTGTCTAAAACCAGAGAAAAGTAGGAGAAACTTTATGCCACTGTAACTCTTTTTAAAACAAATCTAACCTAGAGAAAATAACAGATACCATTATTTTATATATGGTGTGCATCTGTGACGTCATAACTTCACTACCCGTACGAGTTTTCGACCCTGCTAGATAATGGTGGACTGAGACCTTTCAACGTTGTTCAAATTCGTAGCAGCACAACAAATAATACCAGAATATTAGTATACCGACCAGAGCGTGCAAATATATTGACGTTTCCTTGAGGTAATGAGTATCGGCCACAATGTGAGGTGGCTTCGTACGCCTTGGATAAAGCCAGTATTGAAGGATGTCAGTTGGTGAGAAGTCTGGTTTACAGCGCACAAGCATGATGCTTCTGCATGTATTGGGTACCCTTTAAACAACCGCATGTATCGTGAGTATTGAAAACGTCTCTTACATGCATTGAGAATCCCTTTAAACAACTACATGTACAATATCAGGAACCCTTTAAATGAATGCATGTATTGGAAGCCCCTTAAACAACTACTTGTACAATATTGGGGACACTGCAAACATCTGCATGTACAGTTCTGGGAGCCTTGTGAACAACTGCATGTATTGGAAACCCCTTTTAATAACCAGTCCAGCATGTAGATTTCCTAGAACAATACAAAGTTTAGTTAAATACGTTTGCACTCCAGCGAGATGATCCAGATGGACAGTCTTATCTGCGAGAGATGAATGAAAAATATACACAGGCAACAATTTCCTCAGTTCAATCCTTGCCGCTGGTGAACTAACAATTTAATTGTTATCCTCGTGAATTTGATCTTAAAATATATATCATTGCCAAACACGTAATCCACACGTAGAGTAGACCCCATGTATACAATGGGGGATTCCACACTTTGGAAAGTACCTGCACCTTGTCACGACATATATATATAAAAAAAAAAACTTTTTATAAATTACAGACCTCGAAAATGAAACCAACAGCAGTTGACCAAGTCCCAGGTATATACTTGCTTCTAGGTGTTTGCTCTAAGAAGCTATGAGTTGACTGTACTGTGCAAATGAGGCATAACAATGTCTTTTTCGTTCTCTCCTTGTCCCAACTTACTCGTGTATCGGATGCCCTTTAGGAGTATGCTTTTTTCCGTTGTCAGAGACAAAACCTGTCAGGTTCGTCGAGGTGCCCATAGGTCACTGACACTTCCCACAACAGGTGCTTGTCTAACATGTACTGTGCACATTTACTGCAAAGTGAAAAACTCCATCAGATGCAAGGAACTGTACTGTACACGACTGTCTCGTCTCGCATGAGGCCATTCTATTGCTGGCCTCCATTATTAAACAAACATTTTTTTGCTCTGGCTATTGTCATCACATACAAAATACTGTACTTAGGGCATTTGATGGGGCAGAAAATTGAATACTTAAAATGAAAGAAGTGGCGAGTATGCTGAGTGTTAGGAAGAGCTGCTTTAGAGTCAGAGAAGTCAATAAACTGAATGAACTAGGAAGTGAAATGTGGGTAGATCTCATACACTAAATCAGGTGTAGATGACAAAACCCCAAATTCGGTCATCTGCACTTGAGTGAACGGTGAGACCCCAAGAGCTAAAGCATTTTTTAAATACATACTAAAGTATATTACAGTATTTGCTTCGGTTCAAGAAGTCAGAAAAATATGCTTGTACCACAAGAGGCAGAAGCCAAAATTAGCAGAAAAGGAAACATCAGAGGTTGGTGTCCAAATTACACGGGATGAAATGTATTGTTTATATTATTACATTCATTGGATGTGATGCCAAGTAATCAAAGACAATTGGATGTGACAAATCCATCCCCTCTTATTGAAATTTTCCTCTTCCTCCTGTTTTAGATAGTTTTGATTTCATTCTTCTGTTAAGCACAGTTCCTCTTAAATTCATTTGTACCAGTGGAGTTTTTTGAAAAATATAGTTACCTTTAACCATTCCACTTTGACAACTACCAGTGAATGAATTCAACACTGACGTGTATCTAGCTTCCATCCATCACCCCATGTTCAGTATGTTCATTGTGTTGCTGTATTCAAAAGACCAGAACTAGTGTTTTTTTTTTACCTGGATAATTTCATATATTAAGTAATTATCAATAGAAAGCACTAAGCCAAGGTGACTATATAGCTGTTATAGAATAATAAATTGTTCCTAGACACTGAGGATATCAATAAAACTTACCGAGGATTTTATATTCAACAAATTAAGCAGAAAATGCAAAATGCCTCAATGAAGTAATTATCAACAAGCAGCACAAAGCTATATTTATCTAGCACAGAATGGTAAACGAAATTCCTAGATATTATTCAAAATGCCAAAATCAATAAGTCTGACAATGTCATAGGAGTCAAATTCACTTATGTTAAGAGACAAAAGACAAATGTGGGAATTAAATTTAATATTGTCTCCAATTGTGGGTAGTTTGACCTATACATCAAGCTCTTTATAAAGCCCTTGCACTCTAAAAACTTCATTGTAATTATTAATAGGAGCAAAACTAAAAACTTCATTGTAATTATTGATAGGAGCCAAGCCTATCTCCAGAAAAGCCAACTCTCAATACCACACACAGAAATCACAATAGCGTAATACATCAATGAACAAATCCACAAGGGCCGTGACGAAGATTCGAACCTAAAGTCAGTTGAATTTCTGGTTGCACTTCGTATATCATGTCGTAGCTCAGTCAATTAAGGGAGCATCTGGGATGCTCTCGGACGCAGATTCGAATCCTCGTCACGGCCCTTGTGGATTTGTTCTCAATACCATTTTGCTAACCCACTGTTAACAACTTGCTCTTCAAAACTTATCTTTTCATGTTTAACTTTCTCAATCCTCATATGTATTATGTATTCCTCTTATTAACTACTTTGTTTACCACAGAGAAAAACTTTTATAACTTTTCAAATGTTTTATTGTTTTGACAGCAATAATGTAAATACTGCACACACACACTAATATAGATGTGTTAAAATTTGGCTTTGGCATCTGCGCCCCACTCGACACAAGGAGCCTGTAGACCAGATCAAGGTACCTCTCTGGAGATTCCCAAATAAAGCTTTCACCTAAAATTTACAAAATATACTTTTTGTAATGAATTACCTTATCCTGCAATGTCAAAAATATACAGCAACTACCAAAGCAATTGGTACATTCTTGCATGGCTGACGATATTTAATTCAGTTTTTATCTGTGAAGATAAATTTAAAATATTCAAGAAAACAATCTTTTAACATCGAAGCATTGATGTAAAAAATTTTGAGCAACAACTTCACATCACAAAATGCATATTATGTTTAATGTCAAACTTCAATTACAGTTTTCATCAAATTTAAACAAAGTATATATATAACACCCAATTATATATTTTAACCCTTTATATATATGATAAATATGAATATGTAGCACTAATCTCACTGCAAATTTATAATTAGTCTGCAGTAGCTCTAAAAACTTTACCTTACACACTGATTATTCCTATGACGATAGTTTTTCCATCATACCTCTCACAATATATCCATAATTAGCTTTTTGACAAAAAGTTTACCATACCTGCATGCAGTGTAAAAAAAGAATTTATAAAGATCATACAAGTATTAAGAAATTCCAACTAAACACATGAAATCAAAACTGTACTCCGATGAAAAAACTAAGGAATATATCAGTTCATATTATGAAAACACAAAAGAAAAGTTTCAGTGCTGTATGGATAACATTACTGAAGCTGTCATAACTTATTATCACTGTTACTTAAATAAAATATATATTTGTCATATGATAATTTTTTCCACAACTGAGAGCACCATTAATAAAAACTTTTCAATAACCAGCTGTTTATTCCAGCCTGAGCCACTGACAGTACAGACTCTGGTAACCGTGGAGGAGTCAGAGCTTCAAGTTTTCTTTTAACTGGACTACTATCCGAAGAGCAACTCAACCATTGTGCTTTATTAAAAACTTCTGACTCTTCCATTTTATTGTCTCTTATGTGTTGATTGCTACTTTGTTTCTTCGACAACAGCCACGACTGCACATCTTGCGTATGACTCACCTTACTTGTATCTGTGGTGGGTGGATTTCCTGAAGTTGAGCTTCTATCCCAAGCTTCAGTGCTTGAGTCAATACTTACTTTCTTCAGTGCTTCAGACAAGGCTTCTGTTGTGATTCTACTTTCCTTTTCATCCATGCCATTTTCTATATCCTTTTCATCTTTTTCATTTGACATTTTATCTTTCTGACTCTTGAACTTTCTTAGAAGCCAAATATTGGAATGAGTGGCAAGTTTAATTCGTGGTGTTTGGTTGGTTGGTGTACTTTGCCCTAGTCTAAGCCAATTGCCCCCTGGAGCTTCATACATAGCACGCTTAATAGGCACTGGCACAACAGAGTTGGCACTTTGCTTCTGTAATAGCCATAAATCATTTTCAGAAGCAAGTACGCTTGTCATATAAGCAAGTACGGAACTACAGGCAGTGCGTTCTGACTCTGACCGTGTCCTCTTGCGACCTGTCTTCATTCTGTAATTAATAGATTGCTGAATCTTCTCCACTGCAGTTTCCTTACACTTACTCTGACATAAACAATCATTAAAAGATCCACAGGTCTCATTAGCTCTGCACACAGATGCAATATTAATATGTTGCAGAAGATGATCATCAGAATGAGTGCTCTTGTTACTAAGCCACCGAGATTTGTCACCAACATGCATATGAATGTTCTCTAACTCGTACATTCCAGAGCCTGGTGTACTGCAGATATCCTGTTAAAGAAAAAAATATTTGTTAACATGTATAATAATACTAGAGCGTCTTACTGATGCATAGTGGCATCAAGATAAAGCATCATCACTGTTAAACCTACCAAAGTCCAAGTGTATGGTGAATGACATTATCAAGAACTACACACAAAACATAACCACAATTCTTAATTTAGGAATAAGTGCAGCCTAAATGTGCAAATGTTCATAAAACAGAGGTTATTATGGCTGCAAAATTTTATTCAGTTAATAGTACTTTGAATAGGAAAAAATTGCATGCACACAAGGAGACCTGATCGGGGACCGGACCGCGGGGACCTTGAGCCTTGAAATCATTGCAACACACACACACAGTATCAATAAAAGTAAAGGGTGGGAGGTGGCGAGGTCATGGGGCTGATAAGAGCCTCCTGGAAAAACTACCATGGCCACCCATGGGCCATGGTAGGGGGCCTCGTAGCCTGATGGATAGCGCGCAGGACTCTTAATTCTGTGGCGCGGGTTCGATTCCCGCACGAGGCAGAAACAAATGGGCAAAGTTTCTTTCACCCTGAATGCCCCTGTTACCTAGCAGTAAATAGGTACCTGGGAGTTAGTCAGCTGTCACGGGCTGCTTCCTGGGGGTGGAGGCCTGGTCGAGGACCGGGCCGCGGCGACACTAAAGCCCCGAAATCATCTCAAGATAACCCCCAAATGGGAAGATTCCAAAGTGCCAAGACTAAATATACAAAATTTGTAAAAATACATAATTCCTTATAAAATAGCTACATGATTAGGAGTATTACTCATTACAGATCCAGTAGTGCTGGTAGATTCTTTCCTGTTTACCTCACTTGCTTAGTAATGTGTTGCTTCAAGAAATGCTTGCCTTTTACTATTTACACAAACTTTCCTCTAATGTTTCTTCACTGAACACCATTCCTTCCCTACATACTATCCCAAATCCTTGGCTTCATCCCTTTCAAATGATATATAGTCAAAAGGGCTTCCTGCTTTATCCTGGTATTTACCTTAACCTTACCTCCCTAGTTCCCAATCAATTTCAGTGTGAAAGCTGAACATTAGGGGCTTGGCACTTACACCCCCAATCATTTTGGCTGCCTTAATATACATGAACTTCAGGCAGTTTTCAGTACTTCCCCATATTCTTCCTTAGACCTTTAACTCTTCTCCTATGTTGCCATTATTATTAATTAGTCCTCTGGGGTGTTTTAAAATAATAATTCATTGATGAAGGACAGGCATCCTGTGTATATATGTTAAGCTTATATCGAGATCCGCCACAAGGTTGAACTACTGACCCTTCCCAGGATGCAACCACACAACAAGCTGACTAACTCCTGTGGGCCTATTTATTGCCAGGTGAACAAGAGGCATTCGGTAATAGGATACGTGCTCGACTATTTCTGTCCCTCACAGGATTCAAACCCAGGATTTCAGATCGTGTTGAGAATGAACCCAAGTGAACTACCAGGAAACATTAAATAATTAGACATTTTCCCAAGCAACCAAGGTAGATGTAGGAACAGAGCCACCACTCTTAGACATGTGCCCCCCCCCCTCCCCTCTCACCTACTCCTGGAAAACACTGGCACGATTATATTCTCAATACATTAATTGGCTCTCATCTCTTATGGTAATTATTTGTGGCTGTGCCCATTATTGTAGCACTAGAATCTTTATTGAAATCTCTTCTGTACATAACTCCCATGCTACTTGTTGTACACTAAGGGTTTGAGAGACCAAGCGAGGTAGACTGAGAAAGGGAGGGAGTAGATTACCATGACTATTCATCAGATTTTGCAAAGGGCCCCTGAGGCCAACACCAATTTCTCCCAAAGAAACTATAAAATATTGAGATCACATCTACACCTATTTGGGTTATGTTGATGAAAATTTACATACTGTTATAATGATTCAAAAATATACACAATCCCAAATCTGAATCAAATACAGTATCTGTAAACTGCCCACGTGATAAACATAAATAACTCGCATTAATTCCTAGGATATAATTTTGAACAGACTGTGATAATCCATGAGTATCATGGCATATACTAAATTTTTTCTTAAAGATCAGGAAGTTTAACCATTTTCTCGATTTCATATATTTGTATACCCATACAGTACAGTATATGGAATTATAGATTTTTTGTATTTTTTTAATAATAGTAACCATTAGTAAAAGTTTTCTTTTACTCAACAGCATGCATCATTTTTGTTGTTTTTCATAACTTGCCTTTTCCGTATCACAACGGCTGGGAACTATTTCAATGCTTGAACTCTCCGTGGAGTGACCAGGACTGTTCATAGCCAACATATCAAAGCTGCCAACAGTGCTACGTGTGGTGGCAACATCATCCTCCTGTGCACCAGCAAGTTGAAGGCCGCTCAGCCAAGAGGTAATATCACAAGTCTTGGGCCCGGCTCCAATACTAGAAATCTGTGTCAGAAAAAGCCAGATTTTACAATAAATTATAATTATTATTACTATATGACTTTACATTAGTTAAAAAGGACTTCGCTGACAAAAATCTCACTCCAAGTCACTTAAGACTTTTACAGAGCACAATTTAACAGACTGTGGAAGATACATTAAAAATATCATCCAATGTTTCATCATTCATACTACAGCATAGCATAGAGAAAAAATATAAAAAATATCCACACCACTGATAGCAGTACCCACAATTATTAACATGAATAATACTAACCTTGGAGGATGGCATTGCACCTGAATCTTGATCTTTCTGCCGAGCAAGCCAATTTTGATTTGCTAAACGTGGAAACTGAACAGTGATTCGCACAGGAGAGTCTGGTCCAGATGCTGCACCAGCAACACTCTTGTGCAACACATCATGCTCATCGTCCTCGTACTCTTCAACTCTGAACATATAAATTAAAAATTATAATAACTTGACATATAAACCTGTAAGGCACAATGCTAAAATTTTAAAGACTCTGCTGGAAATTTGTTATTTCCAGCAGCCAGAGTAAAGCCTTTACTACTGCACCGATTATTGGAATCCAGTAACATGAGGCAAACTTAATTTTGAAAATCTTCAGAACATATTTAGGAACTTAAATGAGTGTTGTGCAAGTAATTATCAAAGTTTGAAACACGCAGTTAGGTAAACTAGTTATGTTTGATCCGCTACTTTAGTTATCAAGCTGCAGTATTTAAGACATTGCCAATTGTTCAGTAAATTAACAGTACTATAGAAGGTAGCATCCCAGAATGCCCAAGGCATTTAATTTAAAAGTAGTGAAAAGCAAAATTAACTAATATGACACCAAGTGGAACTCACTTTGCTGGTATTACTGGAGATGGGTGGTGGGTGATAGTATCTGGCAGCTGAACACGACCAAATTTTGAAACTGCAGAGCTAAGTGCAGCTTCATCCAACTGAACTGACACACAGTCCACAGGTACAACGTCATTCAAGCTGCAATATTCACACAAAAGTTATATAAATATATACATAACATACACATGCTATTAATCATGTTTAACTCATGGAGTAGAGAACCATCAGCTGAAGAAAAACGGAAGATAAAACATAATAAAAAATCTATTGCACTTCAAACTCGTCCCTTGCTTCCTTGCATTCACTACTTTTCCACCTACCCTCATATCCACTAATGCATTTTTTTAGTTAATCATGATCCATTTAATAAAACATTAAAGCATTTTTGTATGTTCTTCTAAATCTTCAATTTTATCAACATTTTGCTTCACATGCAATACTGTATTTCCATTACATTTTCATCTCTTCCAATCTACTTTCCAAATATCACATTCTACATCTCGACCTATATACAAGGAGAGGAACAATCCCTTTCTATGCTGCCCCTTGCTACATTTCTTCCTATCATCCTTCTTATAATCAGGGTTTTCACTGCACCAGCCATTTTCCTTCTGGGTAAGGAAAAAGAAGCACCTACACTCGCCTTCAACTCTATAAATTCCTTTTGTCCCTTGCACATACCAGGTACGCATGTAACACCATAAAGGTTTTTTTAATTTTATTTTACATATAACATGAGTCAGCCAGACATGATATTTGAAGGTGCCAGATTGTCTAGCCTTAGCAATTAACACTTTGCCTTTGGGTCAGGTCGTGTGAATTGACCTTGCTTTCTGCTAAGCTGATAATTGCAGACAGTTGGTAGTGTCTTTCCATCAAACAAGCCGCTGTTAAGGCATGGTAGGTAGAGAGCCTGAGGCTATTTTACTGGTAGGCAGAGCTTAACTCCCAGATTTCCCATAAATTCCCATGGAACTGTACATTCAGGATATCAGAGACAGAAGATTGAAGATCGAGCAGGAGCGAGTTAGATCGCTGCTCAAGAGGCTGCAGCCGCCAGACTGGCCTCCCCAGGCTAGAAGGGGGGACTGTCTCAACTTGAGGTGTTGTGTGACTTGCCTAGTATATTAATCTTGACATAGTGAACAAAGTTTAACTGTTTGAATTATGACATCCATATGAGTGAAGATCACGTGTTAAATATTTAATAGATTAACTTATGCTTTTGAATTGTCTTTAATTTTGTTCCGTAAAACTTCTTATCTTGAAAGCTAGAGTGGAGGGCCCTCTGAGCTTACTGACTTAAAAGATTCCTGCATTTACAAGTACATGATTCCAGTCGATACATGCTGACATTTGATAACAGCTTAAAGTACAGACAAGTTCCATTCCTTGTCTTGTATGTAAAGAACTTGAATGGATGGTGGCAGCAACTTTCATCTTTCAACCTTTCTACTATTCTAGCACTCTTACTTTCCACTCTTCTAATCTTTTCCTTAATCTCACTTCCTCCCTCTCATTCTAAACTTTCCTTTTTACCTGACCACTCCTTACTCCTCCCTTCTTCCGCACACCCCTTTACCTCCATCACCCCGTACCAACACCTCATTTTTCATCCAATTCTTTTTACTTCATTTCCAATACATTACACGCAAGTTGATTGACCACTTCTAGTTTTCACTAGATAACATATGCCCTGCACACTATTTCCTTCTCTCCTCTACCATAGTAGTACTTTTGCTCACATTCACTTAAAAAGTGTCCTCACACCAATATTAAAACATATCTATTATACTAATATAATAATTAAAATCTTGACAACTAATGCATGATGTAATAACATTCAATGGAAACTTAAAATAATCACAGCAATGTAAACTGTAGTAGCATCCCCATACTTTCATGTCTTAAGACTGGTACACTTCAGTTGGTGCTCTTAAGCAATTTTACTACTGTAATAAATATGGTAGTTTTTATATTTTAATCTATTTTTCAATAAAAATTTGGGGGGGGGGGGGGGGGCACGGGAAAAGTGGACATGAAAATTTTAGTAAACTCTCAAATGGTCCAATTTAAAATCTAATAAAGACATTCCATCAGATCGTTACCAGCAATCTCTCTACATACATTACTTCAACTTACCAATCCATATCATCAACCTTAATCTTTGCAAAGGTGCTAGTGTCATCCTCAGTACACCGCAGAAGGAGGTCACGAGTAGCCAGGAGCACTCCTTCACCTTGCATTAACCCAGCTTGCTGAGTTCCCAGTAAGCAAGTCTGATGGGCTGTGACAACCTGAAGGATTAAATTTCAATGTAAGATTACAAATTATAAATACAAGTTCTTATTTAATCTTATCCTATTATCCATTGATCAACAACCAGTGAAACAAAGTCAATGGCACAGTGACATGAGGATTATTAAACCTGACTGTTCCCTCTCATATATAATATTTTTTTATTATATATTAATTTCTCTGTATTGCAGGGGTGGACAAACTCAAGACCTTGGAAACTGGAAATACAGTACTACAAATCATCTTGGTACATTATTATTTGGTGGCGACAGCCTAAATCACATCTCCTGCTACCACCCACCCCACTTCTCAAGACACAAATTTCACTATAATTATCCCATTTATTCTACTTTCTACATAACTTACATAAGCTATGTTATCTAAGTATCATAACATGCTGTTTAAAGATTAAAACCCATTATATTTAAAATTATGCATACTGGCTTCAATTTACAAGCTTCAACTTTGCTTTTCTTTTTTTAGAATCCAGTTCTTATAACAAATGTGCCAAATACTACTACACGCTTCTTGGGCGCACAAGCAAGTGAACACAAGTGGCTGTACTGTGGATACCCATTGTGTCAACACCTGCATCAGAGGAGCTCCAGCATATTTCAACAATCCTAAATATTGTAGTACGAGTTGATAGTGAGTGGTGTCCCAAGGAACAAAGGTGTTGTGCTTTTGAAAAATAGGCGAGATAACACGAATGTGCCAAGTGAAGTGAAAAAATGGGACGAGAAAACGTTCCCCTAGTGTTAACAGTGCAGACGATGAAATTCAAGAGGGCCGCCGGCAAGAGGAAAAACAAAACAGAGCTAGAGTTTGGGGGGGGATTCAATGAAGAAAGCACTGATATAAGCAGTCTACACAACAAGTTGGCAAAATTAGATATCATGGTGAACTATCACGTAGAAATAATCAGTAAATTGAAAGAAAGACCACTTGTGGAACAACGTATTTGGTCGTGAGGAGTTAGTGAAAGACTTGTGCAAGAACAAGAATCAATTGGAAACAAATTGCAAAGCCATGGATGTGGAAAATAAACTCTTAAAAATAGCTCTGGAAGAAGTTAAAACAAATTTAAACATAAATGACTAAAATAGGTTAGTAAGGAAATTCAACAGGAGAAACAGCTTTTGTCAGTACAGATGAAGTTACACAGGGAATAGAACAGTGCAAGGATATGCAACTCGCCTATGCACAAGTGGCCAAGGAGAAGGAGAGAATAGAAGAAGCAGTAAAGGAAGCCAAACACTGCAGCAATCAGGATAAAACAAACATTAGGCTGGAAGTCAGAAAGGAACTGGCATCAAATCCTAAATTGAGGCAAAACATAGTTGATTGAAGTAAGTCCCCTGATAATATTTGGTTGCAAAGAAAAGGAGATAACCTCTAGGTCAGAAAGAGCTGTAGAAGAAGCGAAAGTACTAGAATTTTTTTTTGGCCTCGTGGAAGGTCTTACTACCATAGGGAATGTCTGCGACTACAGGAGAATTGGCAGGTACATAAATGGGAAAGTTTGACCCTTGAGGAACACCCTAAATGGTGCCAAACAGATGGAAGAAGTACTAAGGAATGCTAGAAAATTACCAAGTGATGAGGATGGGAAAGTATTGTCGTTAAGAAGAGAACTTTCAAGAGTAGACAGAGAGAAGCTGAAACTGAACCTCGTAGAGGGAAAACATCTGAATGAGAGCAGGAATGAAGAAGAAATCAATTCTTTTTTCTACAAAGTGATAGGGGTAGGCAGGCCAGTAAAATGGTACAAAAAGGCAAACCAACAAAACTGCTGGAGAAAGAAGTTATGAAGAATAAGGAGAGAGGGAACATGTTCCTGGAAGTTGTATACACCAACGTAGATGAAGTGAGATCAAAGATACTGAGGTCAAGTGATTTAACACAGCTGCAGATGCCAGACACTCATTGCACTCATGGAGACAAAACTTGAAGACGATATTTTAAACGAGGTCATATTCCTAAGGGAATATTATCTCCTCAGTTTGGAGACAGGACAGAAAAATTAAGAAAGGCAGTGGCATTGCTGTGCTGGTGAAAGAACACCTAAAGGTAAATGAAATAATAATTGCCAATCTATGAGAAGTTGACGTAATAGCACTAGAGATCTATCAGGATAAACTAATGATCATATATGCATATAGTAAACCGCCAAGCAACACATGGACAAAGGAGCTGGATAATAAACGAGAGGGTCTTATAACAATAATCTAAGAGATTACAACGAGAGCGGATAAAGATAGATCACGACTGTTGGTAGTCAGCGACTTCAACTTTAAATCCATAGACTGGGAAGCATATGAAGCTAGAACAGAGGACTTTTGGAACTGTAGATTCTTAGACCTCATCCTGGAATCATTCTTGTATCAACATGTTAAACAGGCTATGAGGATGAGGATGTTCCCTCCATGCTAGATTTGATATTTACCAGGAAAGAGAGATATTTGACATTCAGTACCTTCCTCCCTTCGGTAAAAGTGAACATGTCATTTTGGGAATAAAGTATGCAATGCGTTATAGTCTGGAAGAAAATAAAGAGGATGAATCAGTTGAAAAACTTGACGTCAGGAGAGGACATTATGGGGACCTTAGAAATTTTTTTTAGTGAGTATAATTGGACAGACTTGTTGCTAGGCAAGGAAGTAAATGAGATGTATATCAAGTTTTGTGAAATAAAGATAAAGGCACACACAATACAAAGATGTGAGAAACAACTACAGGGCAGGAAGGAGAGGGGCAGAAAGAATTTTGAAAAAGGGATTGCAGACAAATGTAAAACATTAACACTTTCGCGCTTTAGATTAGAGATAACTCGTCGCCGTTTTCTCTTACGATTCCGCATAACAGCCGAGTTTTCTCGTCCATCGAAAAAATATTTCTATAAATTCCATTTTTTAACCGAAATGGATGGGGATACTTTTGTTTTGTAGGGAATTTATTTGCGAATGTTTTGGTACCAGAATGAATATTATATCACAAACTTCTATGAGTAAAAAAAAAAAATACACAAAGTATGTTTGGGGGTGTGGCGAGCGTGTGGCAGTGGGTTCCCTTTAGCCGTTGATATATCCAACACGTGGGAAATATTTGTATGTGTTATGTATATGTCTGTGTAGGGAATTTTACTGCGATCACTGTCATACAAATTATAAAATGTTTCAACAAGTATAAACATGACAAACATCAAACGAACGAAAACAATGCGTTCGTTTCTGCCGCGAACGCATACTGAGCGACGTGGTTCTATATTTGGCGCTTCTCTTACACATGCTTTGTACAAATGTTATACAGTTCATCTTATAGAAAATTTTATTGCGAACACATTGGTATAAAAAAGAAATACGTACATAGAAAAGTAGGGTCAGGAAACGTATAAACTTTCCAAGCATGATTTCCCCCCTGTGTTTTCGCCAGTGCGCTCGCGGCTAACTACTCTCCACTTCACACACTCTTGCGGGTGGGCAATTACCTATATTAAACATTCATATGCATATGTCCGTGTAGAGAATTTTATTGCGATTCCAATGATACCAAAATTAGCGATGTAGGACAACTGTAGGCTTCGCAACCATTAAGAGAGTGGAAACATTTTGTTGCTGTTTGGCACTCTCGGCGAGTGATCTGCATAGTTTTTTATTTGGTGTTGATACTCCTTATGCTTGGGCGGCATTTTATAGGTATGCTCTTATAGACAATTTCATTGCGAACACAGTGATACCAAATTTAAATACGTGCGCCTTCAATTATTGTCAGGACAGTCAAAAGAGTGTACACTTTTCGGTCTTACCGCGTAGGCGCGCGAAGTGCCGAAAGCATCTGGGGTATTGTTTTTTTTTGAGCGCCGAGAGCGCGAAAGTGTTAATCAGATTTACTTTGGGTTTGTTTCAAACTGCGCACCATGAGGGTCTCTTTCTCACCACTAGGCTGCATGGTACAATAAGTTCATGAAAGGTGTGGACCACTTCGATCAAATGGTATTACCATTTTACCAGGAAAACTCACAAGTGGACCAACCGAATCAGAACCCAAGATGTCTGGCACACTGCCATTTGATGAGACGGTTTTGTCAGATGACTGACTGACTAAAATATTGAACCTCCAGCGATTCAGTTGATTCTGAAAATCGCATGAACTACAAACTGAAATGAGTATTTTGATACCAGAATGAACATTATCACAAACTGCCGTAAGTAGACTCGAACCTTCATAGATTTTTTTTTGGGTGTAGCGTGTGTCTGCACGAGTGTCCCAAACGGGTTGCAGGTGGGCGACTTTAGCCATTTATACTGATAATGCTTCCCCCATACCATGTATTATATGCATATGTCTGTTTAGGGAATTTTATTACGATCAATGTACAACCAAAAATAACTGTGTGCAACAAGTATGAACTTGACAAACATAACAGTAAAAACATTTCGTGTGTTTGATGCTCACTGATATGTTCCAGCGTTGTTTTATATTTGGCGCTATTCTATTATACACTTTATTGATCTTTTTTACCTACGGGCTCATAGAACATTCTAATGCGAACACATTGGCACAAAAATGAATGACGTACATAGAATAATAATGTCAGGACAGTGAAATAAGTATAAACTTTCAAAGCGCCGTATCGCACATGTGTCGTCGCGTCACTGATACCGGGTAACAGTTCCGCCACTTCCCACACTCTTGCGGGTGGGCCGCGACCATTATTTTATGTTTATATTCATATTACCGTGTTGGGAATTTCATTGCGAGTCCATTGATACCAAAATTAACGCTGTAGGACAAGTGTGGAGGTGATAACAATCCCAAGAGTAAAAACATTTTGTTGCTGTTGGGCGCTCACGGCGAGTCATCTACGTACTGTAACCCCGCGATTATCCGGGATTCAAACATTCGGAAAACGCCCTTATACGGCCAAAATCGTGATCGGATAAAGTTATCACAATATCCGGCCAAAATGGCCACAGGAACCGGATAAAAGCTGGTTTGGCCAGATGAAAATACGGCCATACCGTATTAATCCCGTCTGTGGCTCTAGACGCACTGTGGAGGAGGGGGTGGGGTGGGTGGGGTGGGTGGGTGGGTGGTGTTGGGAGGGTGGGAGGGGTGCATCAGGAGGGACCACCTGGGTTCAGGAATTACCATTAATTTTAGAACAATTAATCATAGCCAAAAACAAATGAAATAAGTACTAGTAATTAAGTAATAACAAATAAATAAGTTTCCTAAAAGCATTGTGCACAGGCTGAAGTTTCCTTCAAAAATATTGTGAATTTTTTTCCTCCTGGTGGCCTACGTAACGTGCTATAGCTGCCCCACCCCAAGTGGACCCGTCCAACACTGGTCAACCCATGTGCTCCCGTCCCTCGTGTTATACACAGTGCCGCGCCATTAGTGAAATTTTTTTAAATGACTTTCTTAATTTTCATAGTAACTTTGAACATTTTTGGCCAAGAATATGTCTGGTAGCAGCATCAATCGTTCTGGAAGTGTTAAGAGGAAGAAGATTGTCCTAGCAATTAAAGACAAGCTACGTGTTGTTCAACCAGTGAGGCGTCACAGGCAGCCAAGCGCCTTCAACAAGTGAGGCGCTACAGGCAAGCCAAGCGCCTTCAACAAGTGACGCGCCACAGGCAAGCCGAGCTCCTTAACAAGTGAGGTGCCACAGGCAAGCCAAGCGCCTTCAACAAGTGAGGGCATGCAAGCGCTTCAACAAGTGAGGTGCAAGCAAGCGCCTTCAACAAGTGAGGCCTCACAGGCAACCCAAATGCCTTTAACTAGTGAGGCTTCAGCAGCTGGCAGTCAAAACTAACTTAGCTTAATGAACTGTACAGTAATTTTAAGTGTTAATTTTAGTGTTGTGTTAGTATAGGTTACGTAAATTGTTAAGAATTTTTAACTTCAAGATGTGTGGCATCAATCAATAAGACGAACACCAACAAGGTAAGTTGAGGTTTCTAGTTGAATATTTAATAATTGTATGTGGTAAGGGAATTCAAATTATGTTTGTAGTATAAAAATAGTTGGAAATGGTCACTTTTGGACTCGTAGGTGAAAAAGTACCATTATCCGAAAAATGTGATAATCCGGCTGAGGGTCCTTCCCATATAGTCCGGATGATCGAGTGGAGACAGTAGTTATTTATTTGGTGCTGGTATCCCTATACCTTTCGTGACCTTTTTTACTGATGTTCTTCTAGAGAATTTTATTGCGAACACGTTGGTACCAAAATGAAATACGTAGCTCGAGACCTAAGGTCAGGAGAGTAAAAAGAGTAGACACATTTTTGTTTTGACACTTAAGCGAGAAAAACACCGTGCGCACATGCCGCTTTTTTTTAACCTTAGCCGGGCACTCGAAAGTGTTAGTGAAAAATACAAAACAAATTAAAAAAAAATAATGGAGCATCCTTCCTGACAACACTGAACGAACCTTTATGATATTTTTCCTTTTTTCAAATATGTTCATTTTTTATTAAAAAAAGAACAGCCTACCCGACATATACTAAACGAACCTATTTCTAAAAAAAAATTGAACAAATTTGAAAAAATAAAAAAAGTCAAAGGTTTGTCCAGTGTATGTCAGGTAGGTTGCTCCATTATTTAAAGTACAGTATCGAATATATTGATGTTTTTCGGTGGTACAGTAGAACGGATTAATTTTATTTCAATTATTTTTAATGGGGAAATTTGTTTCAAAAGACGAGCGTTTCGCACGACAAGCTTGGTGCCGGAATGGATTAAATTCGTTAATCGAGGCTCCACTATTTGTATTCAGCATTGAGACAAGCATATGAAACAAAAAAGATATTACATATTTATATACACATATCACATTACTTGCTGCTTGGTTGCACACACAACCAGAGAAATGGTTGCTTATTTGCACAACCAGCTTATGTAAAAATTAAAGGTAAAAATGTGAAAAACAGAAATGTTAAGGAGAAAATAAAGCACCATCACCATTAAATCTACATTTTGAATTGGCCTGTTTAAAAAGGGGCCATTAGTTCCAAATATGCTAAAAATATGCAATAAATGAAAACTAGTTCGATTTCAATCAAACTTTTTTGACGAGTTGTATATGAAAAGGGTTTCATCTGGTCCAAGTCTCAGCATCGTAGCATAAATAGGAAGGGAGAAAAAAATATTGAATTATGTCAAAAAATTTCCAAAATGGTAAAAAATTAACATCAAACACAAGTGTCAACTGAAATCATGTCTATGACTCTCAGCTATCACAATAGCATATAATAAAAATATTTAATAATTAGTTTTATCCCAAAAAAATTTAGTTAAAAAAAAATATTTTTCTTATTTGTTTATCAGACAATTTGCATGAAACTTTTACACCTGACTGCACGTAAGCCTATCTGTATGGGTGCCAAGGGTGCCAGGAATTTGGTTGATGTCAATCTCAGCCACAGATGGCAGAACCTTACTATTTTTTACTTATTTATTTCAAGTAACAAATGTTCTTATAACTCTTACATTTTTTACTCAATTTACTTGAAACTTACACCTTGTATGTAGAGTTTATGTTTCTACAATCTGGTTTGAGCTTTTTTCCCTAAGTTAATTTACTGATTTTATAATAGTAATAAACATGCTATATTTGCATAATTTTTGGGGGGAAAACTTTGACTATTTGTATTAGTAAAACTAAACATTTTGGAAAATCCGCTGAATCAGGATCATTATTATATGCTAATGTGGTAGAAGATTGTCATAGAAATGATTTCATTTGCAACATGTGGTTGAAGATAGAGGTTGAAAATGTGTATGGCATTGAAAAAAAAATTGTCCCTTTCTATTTAGGCTGCAATCCTGAAGCTTGGAACAATTGCAGCCCTTTTCATATACAACAAGTCAAAAGAGATTTGTTAATATTGAACAATGTTTAAAAAACTAACTGATGGCCCCTTAATATTTAATAAAGTATGAACCTTTTATATCTTACTGTACATAGAAACACAGTGAACAATAATTACCCATTACCCATTTTTCTAAGGTGGGAAATCACTTTCACAGAAAGAATAAAAATGTATTTTAGAAAAAGGTTAGAGGGGGTGTTAAACAATGTTAAACTGGCACTCAAACATTTAACAATAACACCGTACAGTGCTTCCAATACCCAGTATGAATAAAGGATTCTTATCACAACAGGATACTCCTTGCAGGCAATGAGTCACAATAACATGACTGAAGAATGTTGACCAGACCACACACTAGAAGGTGAAGGGACGACGATGTTTTGGTCCATCCTGGACCATTCTCAACTATAAAGCAACAACTATATAATAACTTTGCACACAGGCAAAGGCAATTGACTTGAGAATGGTCCAGGACGGACCGTAACGTCGTCGTCCCTTCACCTTCTAGTATGTGGTCTGGTCAACAAGGAAACTGTTTTGCAATTGACACAAAATTATAGAAATTAATACTTTATCTATCGTTTCTCTACACATTAAGCAAAACAACACATTCTCACATAGCAATAATGCTTTGCAGTCATGTTCATTGCCAATTCATGCTTTGCACGCAGGCAAAGGCAAGCACAGACAATAAGAAAAATGGAAGTTAGCAATTTCAATATATACTGGTATAGAAAAAAATATTTGGTTGCAGAGAAGATTGTCCACAAGTGGAATGCATTACAAAGTAAATGCATACTGACCAAGAGTATGCATACTGATCTTGATTCAACTTAGAACAACCACCCCATTCACATGCATCCCTTCATATCTTACTCTTACAACTAAGTCTGTTGAAAAATTTTGGGAAGCCTAAGTTTATAAAGTTACCTACCTCACATCTTCAAATCACCACAATGTTTTTACCCCTTGTATACTTTAATATTCATGAACACAATGTACTGTACTAAACAATTTCTACTAAGACAAACCAACTTACCTCCACCTGCCGTATTAACTGCCGTTCCCTTCCTCTTAATGCACCAATCTGACGTTCCACAATTTCATGTATTTCATCCTTCACCTGTAATCATTTGACGATTAGTATTCGGAGCTAAAATTTTATATGAAGAGTTAATATGTTTTTAACTCCATCTCCTCTGCTGAATGCATACTTTTGTTTTTCCTACATAATATTTTATTTCAGCAAAATGAAGGGGCAACATATTAATAGTACACAATTTGCCAAAAAATACTGTTGTACACCATCACATTAGTCACCAGTGTGACTTTATAGTATGAATACTATTTAGGTTGGCAGGGTTAATAAAGTATCAACTGTATTGAATGTTGAATGTACAAGAGGACAAACATATTTAAGGTTCACTGCCATGTAAGATACCCAGAAAGCTTAAAGTGGTAGAAGCAGTCAGTGTGGGAAGAAAAGAACAGGAAAAAATGAAACTGTAGGCTTTAGAAAATAACCTGGACCTAACCTGGAAATAACCTACATTCAGTGGCCAGTGAGATTAAAATGGAAATTGGTATAACAAAATCAACCCGATCCTTCCTTCAACCATAAAGGATAAGTCTGTTTGCCCCGAGGTTAGTATCAAGTACCGTTGAAAAATAAGACACGTGCATGATACTGTATAGATTTTGACAAACAAAAGGCTCCTCAAAGGTTAAGGCAAGTTCTGGTATTTTGTGTAGAGCTGTAATTTTGTAATTTAATAATATTGTAATACTGTAATTTAATAATACAATTTCATATATATTAATGACAAATTAATGCTCAGTACTCAAATTATCAATAGTTAGTGAGAAGCACCAACATCCTTGCCCGCCTAAATCTGGTTAAGGATTTCACATTGGTAACACAAGTGTGCACCTGGCATCATACACAGCATGACTTGGGAATCTGTACACCAGTTGATTGACAGTTTAGAGGTGGGATCAAAGAGCCAGAGCTCAAGCCCCACAAGCACAACTAGGCGAGTACAGCACTTTTACACCTCTCCTGATACTGTATTGGCATCCACCCATTTACCACCCCCAATTAACCTATTCTCTCCAACACATTCAACTCCTTCCAACACTGTAGATTAGTATATGATACATTATCTCACTTTCGTCCTCTCCTAGCTCTGGCAGGGTGCATATACCTGTACTGTACTTGGAACAGCAGCTGTAGCCATAAACAATTGTGCTATAGTAATAGGACACCCTAGGTAGACTGATTCTTGGCCCTATGCCAGCTATGTCCCTTTCCTCTGTCTACTCTGCTTATTTATTTCACTTTACTATTCCCCATGCAGGTCGGCATTCAATCCCTGACCGTCCAAATGATTGGGTACCATTCCTTTCCCCGTTTCATCCCAAATCCTTAACCTGATACCTTCCAAGTGCTATATAGTCATAATGACTTGGCACTTTTCCCAGATACTGTAGTCCCCTCACTCCCTTCCCCGTCCATTTCCAACTCAGCTATGATTAATTATTTGAATACAGTACTAATGTGTGCCTGGCCTCTTTGTTTCACATTACTTGCCAACTTCAGCAATATCCAGATTTCCATGCATTTAAGTAAACTGCTTTTCTAGTGGACAGTGCCAGGTAAAGTTTGTCACTAGGTAAACGAAGTGCAAAAAGTTTCTCATGGCATGCCAAACCACTCGTGCAAATTCTCTGCCCCATTTATTATAAAATCCTCATGTCACAGCATTAAAAGCTCCATGGTGTGAGGCACTATAATTCAAGCTCAAGTACAGTTGTGGTATCATTATCAATAACATGTGCCTGCCAGAATGTGCTATTCCACCCTCTAGCTAACACATTCCTGCCTCATGACTTGAGTGCTTACTGCCAACTGGATTAGTATGTTACTGCCCAAGGTCACCAGCAAATACATGTCTGTGGGTTCTTGCATGTGTCATGAAATGCAACAATAAACAGTTTTAAAATATGTGTCTAGCTTATGTACATCTCCTCTGCAGCTGGAAGGTCAAACCAATATAAATGTGGTTGTGGCAAATACAGTATATGACTTTACAGCTGCCTCTCTCTTCCTCAAGTAGTCTTCAGCCAAGTCAACAATGGCAAAAAAAAAATTGAGACAAGCTAGTAATACCATCAACAACAGCATATGTTAATATTCCAACGTATTGGCTAACATCCCTACAGTTACGAAAAAATCATGCAATAACGTATGTATTATTTATACAACTATTTTCTTCTTGCATTACTGTACAGTACTAATTTTTTTTTTTTTTGCTGAAATATAATTTGCTGTTTTTGCTTTTCTTTCACTGCAGCATCACAATCTACTTTCTTATAGTACTAATGAATTTACTTGTATTTGTAATAATTATAAAATACAAAAAATTAAAATCACCCAAATGTAACATTTTGAAGAATCACAAGAACCAAATCCCTGGAAATTTAATGATTAGTTGATGCCATGCAAATCCAACTTCAAATTATCAACTCGTTCCATTTATGACTTAAAATGGAAGAAAATAGCAATTGCTGATGATGAGAGAACCCAGGTATCATCATAACCAAACAGTGGAATACAAATAACCTCTATGTTGACAAATTTGTCTCTGAACCTTATTTTTAACAATGTAAATGGGTCTAAACATATCTTACCCAGATGACAACCTAATCAAAGTTAGCACATACAAAAATAACAAACCTTTGCAACTTGTTAGAAATTTATGCAAAGGAGAAAGACTGCTGCTTTAGTGTTAAAACAAAGAAAAAGTTCAAACACTAAAAAAAAAACATTTAAAAGGGCTAGTCTAGAGCATACATCTAATACTTAAGATTTCTTACCACTAAGGTGGTTAGAACTTACAAGACTAAAAAAATACTGGTACACAATTATTGCTGATTTGTCCAATGCCAAACTGTCACAATAAACAGATCTCAGTGCAGCAAATAAACTAGATAAGGCTCAAGGTCAAACTGGTAATTTTTCAATTCCAACAGGTTAGTGTCTGTTGGGACAAAGCCTGCAAAGAATATGATTCCAAGGAACAAGGGTTGTAAAGCTTAGTTCTCCAGGAAACAGTGTTCAGAGGAGCAGTATTCTAGTGTGCAGGCCATACAAGGATCAGTAGCAAGATCGATTACACCAATACATACTACAAATCCTTAAAACAAGATTTGTGACAGTAAAACAAATTTTAGAATACACGTAGAACTTTGCATTCATGGCATCCCTATGTAGCCGAATGACTTTGCTAGGCATGTTCGCTCTAAAACCAAAATGCTCAGAGTATGCTCATTGCTGGGGAAAACGTTCAACCAGGTGCCAAAGAAAGAGCAAGTACAGTAGTAGTGACTACCTGAGGTGCCAGTCGACACCGACGAGGACGGCTGTATGGTTGTATATTGGACAGGTGTCGAGACTTGCGCCAAGGCGAGGAGTACCCTCTCTTGTGACGGTGATTAGGGAGGTGTGGAGTTAGTGGTAAGAGATTTTTTCGAGGCATCTGATGGGTGAAAAATGAGTAGGATAGAAGTCAAAGTAGGATTAGTGAGATTTGAAGACTGAGAGGAATGAGTTGATGGAAGCTCAGAAAGGTGAGGAACAAAATAAATGTGTATGAAGAAGGAAGAGTTTTAATGATAAAGGAGTCTATAATGCACCCACCTAACTTTGGAGATAAAAAAAATTATATGCTATAGGAGTGCAAGAAGTTCAAAATTTTGATTCCGATAGTCAGCTGCCAACATTATGAGCAAAAATATGGAAACAGAGTCTTTGCTAGTGATACTACAACCCTTCCTGTTAACAGCAAATCTTAAAAGGATTCCCCTTTTCACATTTGAATACAGAATCAGTACGTGGACCAATAATGTGCACCATTGCCAAGTCTGTTACAGTAGTTACTCGCATCTTCTCTAATTCCCTTCATCGATATTTAGCATTTTCTCTTACCTCCAACTTGGATACTGCTATATATCTTTCAAAATGAATAATTAGTTAATTAAAAAATAACATTAATAAATGTCAATTTTGAGCTTATACATAAGGATTAAGACCACACCACACACTGAGTTTGCCTAAACACTAAAAGATCCAGATGGATGAGGTAGAACCAAAACCCTGTAGCTCAATTCCACCCCCCCCCCCACCCCCTGAAGTATATTTACAGTAGTTGAGCACAAGTCCACTCAACTGGAATTTGCCTGTTATTTTCTAGCAAAAGTGAATTAGTAATCAAATCTGCTGTATCCAGATTTGTGATCATGCTGGATTCAACTGTATTGTAGTGTAAAGTACTTTGTACACCACTAAATCTTACAAGTTTTCTACACAGTATTGATCTTGGCATATTATAAAAACTTAAGACAATTCCAATTGATAATCCATATGTAATGTGCAAACCATAGCTAGAATTGTCCTTTATGGTTGCCACTTCAAAGACTACTGAACTGTAAATCCAGTAATTTTTAGCACATTTTAAATACAATATTATTTATTGAATATATGAAATCCCAAAATGTTAAAAATTTTCTTATATACAGGTACTAGTATTAATTTTAGGATTTCACCAAAGATTTCCTTACTTTAAAACAGTATAGTCTCCACCTGCCTCTCAAGAGGCCAACAAATCATTATTAAACTAAGAATTAATCTGTACTGTAATTTTTTTTTTTTGAAGTTTATGAGTAAAGAATTTTAAAATTAATCACATTATGTTTTAGTGACAGTAATTATCACCATCAAAGACTTATAAATTTCTGTAGTACAGTAATTCTAGAGACAATATGCAGATCAACAGAACCCACATATAATGCACAGTATAACAATTTCACAAGGTAAAGGAACAAAGTAGCTTGACATTACTTTTTGGGCATTTTCTTGGAGGTGTTGGCGGTATTCTTCCACTTTGGCGAGTGAGGTCTGCACAAAGACCAGCTTCAGTGCCACATCGAGCTCTAACCTCTCAAGAGACATCTGTCAATACATAGGTTTTATTAATTATTTGTCAAGAGTACTATACTATACCTATAAAGTACAGTACCATGACAACTACAGGCAATTAATTTACAACACTTAAGAAATCCTTATATAATTTGGTGTTCAGGGGGAATTACCAGGAGAAAGTGCCAAGCCATTAAGACTACAGCATATAGTACTGGGAAGGGATCAGGATAAAGATTAGGGATGGGACGGGGGGGGGGGGGGAAGAAGGAATGGTGCCCATCCACTTGGACGGTCAGGGATTGAACGGCGACCTGCATGAAGCGTGACTGTTGCTCTACCGTCCAGCCCAAGTGGTTGGAAACTAAACAATGCACTAACAAAAATAAGGCACACATGACATCTTGCCAAGTAAATCTAGTGCAATCATGACTCAGTGAACCTCGATTCAGTGAATCTGCGATTGGAACACACTTTCCACGACAGATTTACTCACCCATTGCAACGAACAAAGTTCACAATCCCTTTCATTAGTAAATAAATATAAAGTCAGCTTTGTTGCATCTTTTTGTATTCTATTTTAAGTTTTTGACAAAACTAGATGAATTTTGCATAAGTTTCAAATACTTCTCATATTCACCATCAGATCTAAAGAACACTAAAGTTAAATTAAAATGAGGAAAAGTTAAGTTTCTCCAGTACCCGTACATTTTTATATTCCTAGTGTTGATCAAACATACTAACCACTTTTGCTGTTATTGGGGTCAATATATACTGTACTGTTAAATTAGGTTTGAATCTAATTCAATTAGATTAATTTCGATTCAATTCAATTCTAATTCAATTAGATTAATCGAATGTCATATTGTACGCAGGCTTTTCTCTTGGGTTAGTAAATTAAGTGTCACTCTCTTTTGTTAGTAAATCATACAATTCAAGTTCAACCTATCACTGCATACAAGAGGATTTACATACAGTACTAATTTCAAAACTCTACATAAACCCAACACATAATTAATATGAGGTAACATGGTGTAATGAACAAACTAACCCAAGAAAAAAGCCTGCGTACAATATGACAATCTAATTGAATTAGAATAGAATTGAATTGAATCTAAATTAACCTAATTGAATTAGATTCAAACCTAATTTAACAGTACAGTATATATTGACCCCAATAACAGCAAAAGTGGTTAGTATGTTTGATCAACACCAGGAATATAAAAATATAAAAATGTACGTGTACTGGAGAAACTTAACTTTTCCTCATTTTAATTTAACTTTAGTGTTCTTTAGATCTGATGGTAAATATGAGAAGTATTTGAAACTTAATGCAAAATTCATCTAGTTTTGTCAAAAACTTAAAATAGAATACAAAAAGATGCAACAAAGAAGCTGACTTTGTATTTACTGTGTTCCAGACTGAAATATTCAGGTAGTAAAATCTTGCCATTCTATAGTCCTTCTATATTCTTTTATATTAGACAATATAAAATAGGAACATCAGTGATTTGGGTCCAGGTAGTATAGTCGGGTTCGTTCTCGAATCACAATGGGGAATGCCGGGTTCGAATCTCGCGCAGAGATAGAGATGGTTGGACGCATTTCCTATCACCTAATGGTTCTGTTCACCTAGCAGTAAATAGGCACTCAGGAGTTAGTAACCTTATTGTGGGTCAATAATTATTGACCTTCCCCATCCTAGGGAAGGTCAATAATTCCACCGGGGGGGGGGGGGCTTTGATTTAAGCCTAGCATGTATATACACATGTATATACACATATGTATATATATATACACTGGCTGCCTATCCCCCGGCAATTGAACTATATTATTATTATGAATTATAAGAATAAGAGCTCTTATACCGCGTATATATATATATATATATATATATATATATATATATATATATATATATATATATATATATATATATATATATATATATATATATATATATATATGTATATATGTATGTATATATTAAAATTAAAATTTAACTAAAAATTAAATATCAATCTACCACTGCAATGCTGTAATATCAGAATTAGATTTGAAGGCACAAAATAACCCTATTAAACCCGCCCCCGCCCCTCTCCCCCCTTACATCACAGCCCAACCATTACCACAAACAAACAACGTCAGCGGCCTGGAGAGTTACACAATTATTACAGCACTTGGCCGTAGCGGCGTCAGCCATGCCTCCTCACCCGCCAGTCACGTAGCCTTGGCCGCCCCTCACACACACTCATACTCTACCTCAGTCACGGGTTTTCTCTCACTCGAGAGCCTCCTCACACACATTTGCTGCCACTCATACACTATAGGAGAGGATTTATGAGGGATGAGGGGTGGATGATAGTGGTATAGTACCTTCGTGGCGCGGCAGCACCCTCCTTGTGTTAGGTCTAGACGGTGACTGCCGGCGGTCGGTCACCAGGCCCGGCACCCGCCCTCATCCTCGCCTCATCCTCCATCACATAACAGAGTTGCCAGATCCAAATTGCTAAGTTTTGCTAGCTAGTAAATTGCTAGCGAGCTGACGGTCAAAAAGTAGCAAATTTGCAAGTAGAGTAGCCCAATTTTTTGTTTAGTCAAATCGAATCAAATCAAATGTTTATTCAGGTAAAAGTACATACATACAAGATGAGTTACAAACATAATGTTAGATTTCTAGATAGCGACAGTATATACAGACAGACGACATTCAAATTTAGTAAGTTTATCTTCCTTCTTTGATAGAACAGACTTCATGCTCATCTGCTGATGACTTACCTCCGATATATTTTGTCCGTGTTTTAATGTTTCACTGTGTTTCTTTAAACCACTTCTATGAGCTCTTATCTCAGTTCTACAAACTTTACAATATGTCTTATTTCTATCTTCTTTCACTTCAGCCAACCACTTTTCAAACACGGGATCCTTAAGCCAGGACATCTGAAACGCTTCCTGGTATTTAGACCACTTCCCCATTTTACACTTCTTTATGTTAACACTTAAGCAAATTCAAAAGTAACAGCGGTAACTTCTTTTCTATATGCGGTAACTTGTGTCGAACTATCCTTCTGGAGGTCAGAGCCACACTAATAATGAAAGCACAGATGAAGCTGCCAAGTTCACTGTATGCTAATCCGCTCTAACGACAGTCATTTGATTCTTGGAAACACCTAAAGAGAAACCAAATATTTACAGTAGGCAACAGTGGGAGGTCACTTAACATAGACAGTACCCAGGATGAAGTATTAATGGCAATTAAGGTTGGGAAATCTATAGCCCCTGGGAGGATTATCTTGCCTTGCGGTTACTTTTTCTTTGGGAAGTTCCTAGGATCAACGTCCCAGGGGGTCGGTCTCTGACCTGGCCTCCTGCGGTAAGTGGTCTATTCAATCAAGCTGTTGGACGCGGCTGTGATTTGTACACATGACATTATAAAAAGCATAAAAATTATCATTGAGTTTCTTAACATTAATAGCCCAATTTGTTTTTAAAGTAGCCCAAAAAGTCGCAAGTAGCGAAATTAAACATTTGGGAGCGCGGGGCTCTGAAAAGTAGCCCAATTCGCTACTTGTAACCCAATCTGGCATCCCTGCCTCACACTCGCCTCGTCTTCCCTCACACTCGCCTCGTCCTCCCTCACACTCGCCTCGTCTTCCCTCACACTCGCCTCGTCCTCCCTCACACTCGCCTCGTCCTCCCTCACACTCGCCTCGTCCTCCCTCACACTCGCCTCGTCCTCCCTCACACTCGCCTCGTCTTTCCTTACACTCGCCTCATCCTCCCTCATACCCGCCTCGTCCTCCCTCACCCCCGCCTCGTCTTCCCTCACACTCGCCTCGTCCTCCCTCACACTCGCCTCGTCCTCCCTCACACTCGCCTCGTCTTTCCTTACACTCGCCTCATCCTCCCTCATACCCGCCTCGTCCTCCCTCACACCCGCCTCGTCTTCCCTCACACTCGCCTCGTCTTCCCTCACACTCGCCTCGTCTTCCCTCACACTCGCCTCATCCTCCCTCATACCCGCCTCGTCTTCCCTCACACCCGCCTCATCCTCCCTCACACCCACTTCATCCTCTCATGCATATTCCGCTTAGTGTGAACCTGTGTACTCACCTAGTTGTGTTTGGGGGGGTTGAGCTTTGGCTCTTTGATCCCGCCTCTCAGCAGTCAATCAATCAACTTTTTTTCCACACACACAAACACACACACACACACACACACACACACACACACACACACACACACACACACACACAAATCTTCGTGACTTCGTGACAAATCGCCAACATGGATTCAGGGAGGGTAAATCTTGCCTTACAGGCTTGATAGAATTCTACGATCAGGTGACACAGATTAAGCAAGAAAGAGAGGGCTGGGCGGACTGCATTTTCTTGGATTGTCGGAAAGCCTTTGACACAGTACCGCATAAGAGGCTGGTACATAAGCTGGAGAGACAGGCAGGTGTAGCTGGTAAGGTGCTCCAGTGGATAAGGGAGTATCTAAGCAATAGGAAGCAGAGAGTTACGGTGAGGGGTGAGACCTCCGATTGGCGTGAAGTCACCAGTGGAGTCCCACAGGGCTCTGTACTCGGTCCTATCTTGTTTCTGATATATGTAAATGATCTCCCACAGGGTATCGATTCATTTCTCTCAATGTTTGCGGACGATGCTAAAATTATGAGAAGGATTAAAACAGAAGAGGACTGTTTGAGGCTTCAAGAAGACCTAGACAAGCTGAAGGAATGGTCGAACAAATGGTTGTTAGAGTTTAACCCAACCAAATGTAATGTAATGAAGATAGGTGTAGGGAGCAGGAGGCCAGATACAAGGTATCATCTGGGAGAGGAAATTCTTCAGGAGTCAGAGAAGGAAAAAGACTTGGGGGTTGATATCACGCCAGACCTGTCTCCTGCAGCACATATCAAGCGGATAACATCAGCGGCATATGCCAGGCTGGCCAACATACGAACGGCATTCAGAAACTTGTGTAAAGAATCATTCAGAACTTTGTATACCACATATGTCAGGCCAATCCTGGAGTATGCAGCCCCAGCATGGAGTCCATATCTAGTCAAGGATAAGACTAAACTGGAAAAGGTTCAAAGGTTTGCCACCAGACTAGTACCCGAGCTGAGAGGTATGAGCTACGAGGAGAGACTACGGGAATTAAACCTCACTTCGCTGGAAGACAGAATAGTTAGGGGGGACATGATCACCACATTCAAGATTCTGAAGGGGATTGATAGGGTAGATAAAGACAGTCTATTTAACACAAGGGGAACACGCACAAGGGGACACAGGTGGAAACTGAGTGCCCAAATGAGCCACAGAGATATTAGAAAGAACTTTTTTAGTGTCAGAGTGGTTGACAAATGGAATGCATTAGGAAGTGATGTGGTGGAGGCTGACTCCATACACAGTTTCAAGTGTAGATATGACAGAGCCCGATAGGCTCATGAATCTGTACACCTGTTGATTGACGGTTGAGAGGCGGGACCAAAGAGCCAGAGCTCAACCCCCGCAAACACAACTAGGTGGGTGAGTACACACACACACACACACACACACACACACACACACACACACACACACACACACACACACACACACACACACACACACACACACACACACACTAAATATAATCTCTAAAACTGTAAATCATTTAAAGAAAAATAAGTATAACATTTAGGGGTTTAAAGTTCATGCTCTGTGATAATATGAAACAATTGTTTACTGAGTATTATACTACTGTATATGTAATGTAGTATCTCCTTGTAAAATTGATGTATATATGATTTATATTGTATATTATTAAATTAAGATAAAAAAAAATCCAGGTACCTGGGAGGTACCAGGTACCAGTGGTAGATTGAGCAACCTCACAGGGGGCACACAAGTTATAACGCGCAAGACTCGTAATTCTGTGGCGCGGGTTCGATTCCCGCACCAGGCAGAAACAAATGGGCAAAGTTTCTTTCATCCTGAATGCCCCTGTTACCTAGCAGTAAATAGGCACCTGGGAGATAGTCAGCTGTCACGGGCTGCTTCCTGGGGTGTGTGTGTGTGTGGTGGAAAAAAAGTAGTTAGTAAACAGTTGAGAGGCGGGCCGAAAGAGCAAAGCTCAACCCCCGCAAACACAACTAGGTGAATACAAGTGTAGCCTGGTTGACAGGTCCAGCAACGAGGAGGCCTGGTCGACGACCGGGCCGCGGGGACGCTAAGCCCCGGAAGTACTTCAAGGTAACTACCTGTATACAGGTAGTTACCTTGAAGGCTACCTAATGCATTCCATTTGTTAACTACTCTGACACTGAAAAAATTCTGTCTAATGTCTCTGTGGGTCATATGGGTACTAAGTTTTCATCTGTATCCCCTTGTTCGTGTGCTAAATTGTGTGTGAACAAAGTGTGTGTTCGTGTGCTAAATCCCCGTGCTAAAGAGTTTGTCTTTGTCCACTCTGTCAATTCCCCTGAGAATTTTGTAGGTGGTTATCATGTCGTGTCTCCTTGTGTGTGTGTATGTGTATACTTTGTGTGTGTGTGTGTGTGTGTACTCACCTAGTTGTGCTTGCGGGGGCTGAGCTCTGGCTCATTGGTCCCGCCTCTCAACCGTCAATCAACTGATGTATACATTCCTGAGCCTACTGGGCTCTATCATATCTACATTTGAAACTGTGTATGGAGTCAGCCTCCACCACATCATTTCCTAGTGCATTCCATTTACTAACTACTCTGACACTGAAAAAGTTCTTTCTAATGTCTCTGTGCCTCATTTGGGTACTCAGCTTCCACCTATGTCCCCTTGTTCGTGTCCCACCCGTGTTAAATAATCCATCCATGTGTGTGTGTGTGTGTGTGTGTACTCACCTAGTTGTGTTTGCGGGGGGGTTGAGCTCTGGCTCTTTGGTCCCGCCTCTCAACCGTCAATCAACAGATGTACAGATTCCTGAGCCTATTGGGCTCTATCATATCTACACTTGAAACTGTGTATGGAGTCAGCCTCCACCACATCATTTCCTAGTGCATTCCATTTACTAACTACTCTGACACTGAAAAAGTTCTTTCTAATGTCTCTGTGTCTCATTTGGGTACTCAGCTTCCACCTATGTCCCCTTGTGCGTGTACCACCCGTGTTAAATAATCCATCCATGTGTGTGTGTGTGTGTGTGTGTGTACTCACCTAGTTGTGTTTGCGGGGGTTGAGCTCTGGCTCTTTGGTCCCGCCTCTCAACCGTCAATCAACAGGTGTACAGATTCCTGAGCCTATTGGGCTCTATCATATCTACACTTGAAACTGTGTATGGAGTCAGCCTCCACCACATCACTTTCTAATGCATTCCATTTGTCAACCACTCTGACACTAAAAAAGTTCTTTCTAATATCTCTGTGGCTCATTTGGGCGCTCAGTTTCCACCTGTGTCCCCACGTGTGTGTGTGTGTGTGTGTGTGTGTGTGTGTACTCACCTAGTTGTGTTTGCGGGGGTTGAGCAACTCAATCAACTGGTACCTTACCTTGAGGTTACCTTGAGGTGCTTCCGGGGCTTAGCGTCCCCGCGGCCCGGTCGTCGATCAGGCCTCCCGGTTGCCGGACTGACCAACCAGGCTGTTGGACGCGGCTGCTCGCAGCCTGACGTACGAATCACAGCCTGGTTGATCAGGTATCCTTTGGAGGTGCTTATCCAGTTCTCTCTTGAACACTGTGAGGGGTCGGCCAGTTATGCTCCTTTTTCTGTAAGGTACAACTGGTGTGTGGTACTAAGGAATACCAGACACCCACCATATCTATTACAGCGTGGGATACACAGCACCCCTGACTTATGAAGTGTACCCCGCCCAATTCGTAATGTAATGCAGGTAAACTCAGTGTAATAATGACATGAATACATGTGTAAGTCACATTGTACAACTCATATATAGTATATTCACTTGGGACGAAGTTAAAGCTACATGAGATTGAGTATTGCTTCAAAATAACAGTAATTATTGTGACGCGGGCGTATTCACACTAAGCTATCTCATGAGTTTATACTTCTGCTAATTGCTAACGATTTTTACATTCAAAATAGATAACTAATTTCCTTATTAAGAAAGAATTACCCAGAAGCAGGTATAGATTAGCTTAGAATAATAGGATTAAGCGGTCAGAGAATAAGGATGAAAGATTAAAGAAAAAGCCTCACTGAACACACAATATATGTATATAACATTGAAATGAGACATCATGTTCATATATTGTGTGTTCAGTGAGGCTTTTTTTAATATTGTAATAAGACATTATATTCATATATTGTGTGTTCAGTGAGGCTTTTTCTTTAATCTTTCATCCTTATTCTCTGACCGCTTAATCCTATTATTCTAAGCTAATTTATACCTGCTTCTGGGTAATTCTTTCTTAATAAGGAAATTAGTTATCTATTTTTAATGTAAAAATCGTGGAATTCTAGTATACAATTTAATACTGAATATAATTCAGAATTTAAGTAACCTCTTAGTGCATAAATATCTTTACATAATGAGTGACGCTTCCGAGTAAACTCGCCCTTAGAAACAAAGTTATATAAAGAACAGAGTGCTTGTGTACTCAGGGTGACGACTGTCGCTAGGCTTCCAGTATGACGATATCAAACTAGATTTCTCCAGAAATTTAAGTAAATACATAAATTTTATGGCAGTGAATATTATTATGGCCCTTATTTAAGTTATTCTTTTGTATGTCTGAATAATTTACATTGCATTAGATATAAGTGAAGGGGGTTATATAATACCATTAACAATTATGGTGACGTGTTTATCAGTCCATAACAGCTGACTGCCAACACGGCTCCAGGCGGTTACCAGCTGCTTCGGGTCGATGAACAAAGAAAACGGAGATAAAGTTTAAATATTGGGTAAACTATTTTTAGTTTCTTTCTTAATCAATATTTTTGTTTAAATAGTTATGATGTACTGCTAACATACAAAGTGGATTTCTATTAAATACAAAGCCAACAAAAGTTTAATTCCACAAAAATACTAATTCATAGGTAAAAATTATATGACTTATTTGGTTTGATGCTAGGCTTTAAGCCTATTAACCTCTAAATAGTCTACAAAGAGGTTAGGGCTTCCACAATACCTTACTTATTAACTAGCAGGTATAATTTAGCTCTAAACTTAGCTCAGAAGTAGAATAAACTCGGTGTATTTACACCGGTCAACGATGTACAGAACTCGATATATATATATCCCTTAAATTTTTATTGAGGATACTTATATAATTTATAAAGAATGACTTTATTTAGGACACAACATATAAACGTTAATGAGCAATCTGGCACAATGTCTAATAACAATTGTTATAATATATATGGTAAATGTGTTTGAAAGTTTTCAAGCGCTATTCACAGCATTGTCCCTGTATGGGAAGGTCAGTATTGACATGGTTCCACAGAGTAAGTTCCAGTGAAATGCTCTTCACACGGTAATTTTATGATAAACCATATCAGACGATATCAGTGGTGTAGAGTAGGCATAATGCTCAAAAGTATACTACTCCCCAATACAGTCATATAGATGGTATACTTAGCCTATATATAGCCTAAGTATATCTGAAATGTGTATAGTTTATAGCACATATTTGCTTATCCCTTTAAGTGTAAATTTTTAAAACTAAAAATCCACTCAGTGAAATCAGAGGATGATCTTAAGATTTAAATTTTTACTGAATTATGAAATGATTTTTTATTGAACTGATTTTTTAAAAATCCAAAAGTTGTGGCGGCTTCCTTTTTATCAAGTATTTGGAATATATATATATATATATATATATATATATATATATATATATATATATATATATATATATATATATATATATATATACATATATATATATATATATATATATATATATATATATATATATATATATATATATATATATATATATATATATATATATTAAGATGAATAGGAAAACCAGGGATATACTGAACATCTTGTATCAGAATCTTTACTTTAAAAAACATAACGTTTCGAATACTTTTCGTATTCATCATCAGATCTAAAAGAAAAAAACAGAAATCACAATCAAATAGCTGGTAAACAAAGAACTCATACTGAATATAATTGCCTATCAAAGAAAGGAAAAAGCTTAAAAAACAAAACACTTAAGCGCACTTAAAGTGATCAATACAAATAAAACTTATTAACAGTCACATATATTAAAACTAATTTAAAATCCATTAAACTACAAGATGAAATTTTAATTTTATTTAATATTTGAGTTTTTTATAAGATTTTGGTTAGTACTTTATAATTGTTGTTTACTCTGTTTGTATTTTACATACATTTTTTGTAGATTTGTAGTCATTATATAAATATTTGTTATAGTGTTTAGTATCTATGTGTTAGGTATCAAGTTTCACTTCTGATCACTTCACGTAAGTTTAATAGAATGGTTTGTCTTAGTAGTTATAAATTTCATCTTGTAGTTTAATGGATTTTAAATTAGTTTTAATATATGTGACAGTTAATAAGTTTTATTTGTATTGATCACTTTAAGTGCGCTTAAGTGTTTTGTTTTTTTAAGCTTTTTCCTTTCTTTGATAGGCAATTATATTCAGTATGAGTTCTTTGTTTACCAGCTATTTGACTGTGATTTCTGTTTTTTTCTTTTAGATCTGATGATGAATACGAGAAGTATTCGAAACGTTATGTTTTTTAAAGTAAAGATTCTGATACAAGATGTTCAGTATATCCCTGGTTTTCCTATTCATCTTAAAATTAAGATTCCCGAAGGGAACATCGATCATATATATATATATATATTGTCCTTTTCAAAACTATTTTGTCCTTTATACACAGATTGAAAGTTGTAGGCCGTTCAAATCTTGTAATGATGAATGTAAAAGGGTAATAGATGTATTTGACATTTAATTCAGATTTTGTTGAAACGGGATTTTAGTAAGATGTTGCAAGCGCATCCATGCACAACTGTTTCTGGCAACGATCTCTAGTCTAGGATGAATGATTTTGGGCCTACAGCCTATCCTTACCATCGAACATCAGTTAGCGAGAATTGCGTCTATATAAACATGATTATCGCTGTCAAGCTGATCAAAATAGAAAAATTTATCTTTTTTTCCCCTACATCCTGCATCATCGTTCTCTTTGTCAGATTTCAACGGGAATCTCTGTAACATCTACGCCATCCACCGTGTAATCGGTGACGGCGCCTTCAGGTAGCAGAGGCTGGGTGTTCTCCAGTTTGATTGAGTACATGAAGGACTTGACGACTGCCCAGGTATAGAGGGAGATGATGAAGTGAGCGATGGAGCAGATGAGGTGTGGGAGTGTAGTGAAGGGCAGTGGCACCAGCAGGAACACTAAGATGACCACGTTGTGGACTCCTGTGAAGGCCACCCACCCCTGCAGCAGCACCACCGACCTCTGCACGAACACAATTTCATGGTTAAGGAAGAATTTATGGAGACAAGAATATAAAAGTATATCTTTTTTTTTATCTTTATTTAAGAAAATACAATATAAATTACATATACATAAGTTTTACAAGGCAATTATACATTACAATTCTTAGTGAACAAGTGTTTCAGTAGTACATAACAAGATCTTTAAAAAAAAAACTGAATGTTATACTTATTTACCTATAAACGATTTACAAAAATTGGAGAATAAATTTACATTAAAATACCTGTACAGGGGAAATTATTACATTTATATATATTTTATATAATTCAATGGAAGCGGTTCGCGAAAGTGGCGTACTGTCCCGTTTTCTGTTTTGGGTCCTCTGGTAAGTTAGGAGAGGACACTTTACACTGACCGTTTTCTTGACGTTGGGAAACCTTAGGAGGACGGGCTGTACACAGAACGAAACAGTCGTCTAATGAGAATATGTTAAATATTAAATCTAAGAATAACCGGGATGTTTATATATGCCTGAACTAGTTACGCGACTTTAGGCATAACTTCACGTAAAGTTTACACATATTTGGATCCAAACCTCGGTCTAAATTTGTGGACCTGGCGGCCACCCAACATGGTTCACCCTGACAATGTGTCAAACATGTTAACAGTTTCATCTGACGTCAAGCACCAGGGAGCCGCCTCCTATTTTATTCCCCTTCTTTTCTCTCTCATTTGTCACAAAACAAGTATTAAACTTAAGAACGATTTATTAGACTTGCTTTGTACTGTTCGCTCGTGGTCAGGTGATGTCCCCTAATATAAGAGCCACCTTGCCCCACAGGCTTGAGGTCCGTGGATAGCTCCCAGTGTTTATTTGTATTTTTTCTCCTCTCCTGCGCTTGAAATATAATTTTAGCTTAGGCTTTTTTATTCTGAACATCCTTAGTTACGCTTTAAATGGTTTTAACTCAGACTCTTTTATTCAGAATAGAATTCGATACAGTGAACATTGATGCGAATGTCTAACTAATTAACACACAGACTTTGTCTACTCTGCCTTTCGTATCCCTTTGACTCTGATTTCAGGTCATTCTGTCCAATGCCTCCTTGGATTGTTTGGGTGTATATTAAGTTTAGCGTTAACCACTTTTTCACCTAATGCAATTTACATAAATATTTATCATATATTGATATAATTACAATTCCACTTTAGTGTTGTTTTTATTGGCATGACTGCAACGAAAATACCGCAACTCAATATTCGTAAGTTGCGGAATTAGCCTATCGCTGCCTTTCCTTTTGCCAATATTTAATGCTGCTGATATAGTATTGAAATTAGTAATTTATTACATTTTGTATATTAAAGACTTAGGGATCACAAAGTAACTGAGATACAGTATTAACTGAAAACCCACTGAAGATATCAATGGAGAGGAATTCAGCAGGGTCGATGTTTAGGTTGCCTTGAAAAACATCCACATTACTGCAAGTGACTCAGACGAACTAATATACAGAGAGAGAGATCGTTTCTTCCTGGTTCAGCTGGTGGACTATTTTTATGATTCTTAGAAATCTGTGAATAATTACGGTGACGCATCACTTACCTGACTAATCTCTACTTCCCTTATTCTCTTCTGCTTCCCCACTTGCAATCTTTTCCATACCTTGCTTGTATGGAAAACCTACCTTCTGCTTGTAACTCATTTTGTGTACATGTACTTTTACCTAAATACAGTATTATGTTTTATTATTATTATTATTATTACCTTCTGCGTCCTAATACAGCCGGATCCCCACTCAAAGACTGGGAACTAACGGCCCACAAGGTAGAATATTAAATCTCCCCTGTGGGAATATTAAAAAAGAAAGAGCCTGACGATCTAGTAAAAAAAATGACGATAAAATGTTGAGCAAAGTAAATGAGATAAAAGAACCGAGAACACAAACCCTGATGTAATAGCAATACTAAAAATTAAAACAATTGTAATGATAATCCAGAATTCTCCAGAAAAATGCATGGTAGCAAGAAAAATAAATTAGACATGAGGAGAGGGTGGCATTGCTGTTCAAAAGAAACAAGATAAAAAATAGTGGAAAAGCAGTAGAGAATGATGCAGCATCCAGGGCCAAGGATTAGTTTAACCACTCCAGATCCACATTAGGAGGAATATGCAGGAGAACGACCAAGTGATAAGGTTGAAGGACACAGATTGAAAAGTATTCAAAGTCGTGATCAAGGTAAGAGGCGCAGATCTCCTAAGATGATGCGTAAGTCCACCCGTAAACCCTTTCTATATTTACCTGAGTTTACCAGAGAGCTACTAACACTAGTGGCCTCGACGAGGACAGGAAGCCAACGGCTTGTCGAACGTCCCCCATTTACCTTCATAAATATATGAATGCAATAAACATAACTTCACTCAGGCCATCTGAAACTTTCAATTTATGTACATAAGTCAAACTACGCCAAATGTGAAATTTCCGAATAGTCTTGTATTTTCTACAGTATGATATTTTTCCGTTAAATATATTCAGCTTTTCATGTTGTGTTAAGCCCTTTTACAGGTTCCCTATCCAGTCTACGTTACACTGTTTTGAATCTTCTACATTTTTGCTAATTTTGTGTCGTATCCTGTTATATTTGCGCATGATATCTATATACAGAAATGCAATAACACCCACAGGGGAGGGGGGGGGGGTTGTAGAAATAGCCTAAGCTCCCCTATCCCTTTGAGACGGATTTTATTGTCTCAATAAACGTACTTGAACTTGAACACACACCCACGGGTACAGTGTTTACCTTGATGACGCCGAGGACGACACAGAGGGAGAGGATGCAGTAGATGCTGGAGTAGGACATGAAGATCCCCGCCACCGTCTCCACTGTAACAGACGCATAATATATGAACGCAACAGAATCTCATGGAGCATGGAAGAGTTATTAAACAGTAATTGAATTTTTAATTCAGAATTTAATTTATTTTATTTATTTATTTGTATACAAGAAAGTATATATATATTATATATAATATATATATCGGGTCCCGTTAGTACAGTCGAAGCACAATCGAGAATTCCGGGTTCGAAGCCCGGAATGGTTGGGCACATTTCCTTTCACCTAATGCTTCTGTTCACCTAGTAGTATGTAGGTACTCAGAAGTTAGTCAGCTTGTTGTACTCACCCAGTTCTACTCACCTATTTGTGCTTGCGGGGATTGAGCTCTGACTCTTTGGTCCCGCCTCTCAGCTGTCAATCAATTGGTGTACAGGTTCCTGAGCCTACTGGGCTCTATCATATATACATTTGAAACTGTGTATGGAGTCAGCCTCCACCACATCACTGCCTAATGCATTCCATCTGTTAACTACTCAAAAGTTCTTTCATACGTCCCTGTGGCTCATTTGGGTACTCAGTTTCCACCTGTGGGGTTACATCCTGGTCGGGGTCAGTAATTCGACCTTGGGGGGGGAACCTCGATATAAGCCTAGCGTGTATGAATACACTCTGGCTTCCTGTCCCCCAGACACAATGAATTATAATTAGTGTTACGTGTAGTTATAATTTGCCTGAAACGCTATGCGTTATGCGTATTAGTGGTTTTAGGTATTGTATGTATTAGCTCTATCTATAAATCCAACATTATGTTTGTAACTCTGCATCTATGTATATACTTTTCCTGAATAAAATATTATTATTATTATTATTAATTATAGTTACCCCCTTTAAACATCCGTCTTATTATTTTTAAAGAAAACTATAAATGTTTTGGACAAACTACTGTATTCAATGATAATAAACCGTTGCCTAATTTATTTATTTATTTATATACAAAAAGGTACATTGGGTTTATGAAAGTAAAAAGCACTGATATTTTACATTCTAGTAAAACTACTAGCACGCATAGCGTTTTGGGCGGGATGGCTTTCGTCCTACCGCGGTTATCAAACCCAGTCTGTGCTAGGCACAGTGGGCTGACAGCAGAGCCACAGGACCTGTAACCATCTTATTAATAACCCATTGTACCTTCTTGTATATAAATAAATATATAAAGTTGTCTACTTGCGCTTTTTATACAGGATAACAGCCCAGTCACTGACAAATGTATTAAGGTCATTTTAACGACAAATTATTTTTGTGTCATAATGTCAGAATAACCCAAGTAACTGGGGTAATCTTGTTAGAATAACTTTAGATACAATTGATGGTTAAGCCCGTGGGAGCGGATTAATGACAAAAACCCCACCGGACAAATCCCCCACACCGAGGTGCAAGCCCGCCTCTTTGGGAATATGCACTTAGTTTAATTTTGTAAACCCTTGCTGGTTGGTCAGTAAGCTTCTTGTTTTGGCCTTAATTCCCCACCCCGTGGTTAATAGACTTTCATCTCGACACTCCCCTTGAAAAAATAATGACTACTAGACAAAACCTCCATCGCTACATCCCTTTGTGTGTATTTTACCTCAATAAACTTATTTCAATTTCAATTCCATCGCTACGAAACATTACAAAATGTACTATATTTGATAAATAATAAACTAAATCTATATAAACATCCATATTTACATGCTAAAATATTAAGAAAATCTAATTACAGCTTTTTTAAACTTCTTAAAATTCCACTCTGGCAAAGTTGTATTGATTTATTTCATTGGCAAGCCTAGGTACACAGAGCAATGTGCTGCTACACTATTCTACACGACGGATTGCAGGGTAAAGAACAAGAACTAGAGTTAGCTATGAGATTATCTAATATATTAATCGTCTACTTTCACTAATAATGATAGCAGCGTAAATCCCAAAGTAATTCACAATACACTTATAATTCAAATATAAAATGAAACTTGTACAAAAATAAAAATCAGCGACCTAGCTTCACTTTGTATTCAAATATTCTTTAAGAAAAACTGAACAAGTGAACAAGATTTTTATACATTTCACCCCATAATTTCACACATTAATTCATTTATTATGAGAGGATTTTGTCAGGTACGGTTATTGTCCGGTGGAGTACATGTCCGTGTTTTTTTGTCAGTGAGTTTTTTGTCCGTATCCCTTCAGTAACGTAGCTTGGAGATACACTGGAAATAATTTTCATATATACGATCTCCTGTGCACATCCACGTCTAACAAAACTTGGCAAGCTTGCAGTTGTGGCTGTTTTTGTGTTGAATTATGCATGTTGAAGAACTGAGGTTAAGTATTCTTGTACATCTTAGTCGAGCAGCTGCATTTATGGGTCTCTAGTATTAATAAAGGGTCTTTATTAATCAAGTTTATTCCCAATGTCAACATACTGCATTCTATCTAAATTATTCTAGCCAACTTTTAGTGTGTGGATTAGTTAAAGAAGCAGGTAGCCTATGTACACAGGATCGTAGCTGTCTCCCCGCCTGCCAAGCCCCGCTGGTAAAAATAGACAAGAGTATAGACACTTTGTTTATATTCTGGAGGAGTACCTCCTGTAAAACTGGATGGCCACAGACAGATATTGTGACTGTTGATGTGTCTGGTGCAGCTGGATGGTCACAGACAGTTATTGTGACTGTTGATGTGTCTGGTGCAGCTGGATGGTCACAGACAGTTATTGTGACTGTTGATGTGTCTGGTGCAGCTGGATGGTCACAGACAGTTATTGTGACTGTTGATGTGTCTGCTGCAGCTGGATGGTCACAGACAGTTATTGTGACTGTTGATGTGTCTGGTGCAGCTGGATGGTCACAGACAGTTTTGTGACTGTTCTATCTGCTTAAATTTTGTTTGTCTTTGTAATTAACAGTCAACGTTGGTATATTCTGATATATATTTCCTTCGGCTCTGAACTTGTGGCAGGTCGCCGACCTATACAACAACGCCACTAGTGCTGTTTACTATCAACAAAATGCTGATAGTCATAATTAACCTAAAAAATCAAGATTATTTATATTTTATAATTCCTGTGAGTGACGGTCAGAGGAGTGCAGTTTTGATAAGAGTCAGGCATATGTTTGGGTGCATTCACTTTGTTCATATTCAAAATAGCGTGGCAAAGTTAAATGTAGTTTCCAGGATATTATTGTGAAGTTGTTCGACTTCAACCTCATTACGGCTCCTAATGATTTGCTCAATAATAATAGTGATGATGATGATGATGATGATGATGATAATAATAATAATAATAATAATAATAATAATAATAATAATAATAATAATAATAATAATAATAATAATAATAATAATGTAGACTATACACATACCGGTGTACACTAATCTTCGGTGTGCAAACACTGGAAATAGGCTCTTGTAGTAGCCTAAACAACCCGCCCCCGGTTGATAGGCTTTAAGCCAAACACTCATATAAATGAAAATACGATCTTACGTTTATATCTGTCGTTAATACCGAAGACTTGGGTTTCTGGCTCTGGCAACCATGGACAGCTAAAGTTGACGTTGAGTGCGCTGTTGCTGCTGTTGGTATTCCCTTGAACGTCAAAAAAGCTGTTAGCACTGTCCACAGCTTCGCCATCTACACTGTTGACACCTTGATCGCTGCTATTGTCACTCGCCCGAGGGACGTCGCCTGGCTGGGAAACTAAGCTGCTGTTGCCGGTACTTGCCTCCGAGGTGACTCCAGTACCTGTCGGGTGAACGGCAGTGCCAGTGAGGGCAAGCTGGGCAGTTCCAGTGTCTGCCTGATGATCTAGAGTGCCAGTGAAGGCAGGGTCGACGGGGCAGTCCACCAGCATCATCACACCGGCGACCACCATTAAAGCCTGCCACACCTGTGTAGCAAGACACAGGTGTTGTTGACCATTAATTTGAAGACTAAGACACTGGGTGTCGTAGAGAGGCATAGATAAAGACGTCAATTGTTAAGTTCAATAAACATCATAAAGATATATAAGCTTGTCAAGTAAGTAAATGCCATAAAACATAATATAGAAAATACTTTCATATGCCTTTGAGACGACGTCTCATTCCTACATTCTTAAAGTATCTCCATACTTTTACTAGGAGCCATACGTAGCCTCTCGCTCTGGAAAACGAGAGGTTAGCAGGTACAGCTAATTGCTTATTTTGCTCAACTGTATTGAAATGTTTACTATACTTAAGTCAAAACAAAAATCTACTTCTAAATCTAAAAAAAAACAACGTACCAATGAGAGAGTACCAATGGTGCAGGCACCCGTCCTCAGCGACCACCTCACACAGAAGTTGTCCGTGGACCAGTATTCTAGATTGGCCTTCGTCGTCATGTACATTCTGCGAGAACCAACTCAAACCGCCTACCGCCCTTTCCATTCACAATTTCTTATCACTCTCACCTTCCACACGCCTTTAAATATCTTCACCTACACCGTCCCTCCTCCCAAACCCACTGCCTTCACTTCCCCTCACACACTATGTAAACACTCGCATGGCTCTTATTCAGATCTCCATCTGTGTTCGTGTGGTTTAGTCATCTAGACATTTTCGAGTATTGTTTCTTTCTAAGCCTCCACTATCGACAACTGATAGGTTTATCTTCTCGCTTTGCTTTGCTATGCTACTTATGTTCATCTTCCATTCTGCGTTAATCTTTCACTTTCTTTGTGTATTTTTAAATCTGTCTGCATTAACTTCCTCTTAATTAGAATTTCATCATAAATTCCCTGGATGTGTTTGTTTACATACTTGGAGGTATATGGAAAGTGTCTCCCATGTTCAGCACTCGTTCTTACGTGTTCTTTACAGTATTTTCATCACCTTTTACAGTTCTTTTCAGTGTTTTCAGCTGTTATTCGTCAATGCTCTCATCCGTTCTTTATCATTGTTCTCATTTATTCATTGTCAGTTTTCTAAATTCTTCGTCGTCATTGTTCTCAATGGCGATGATGCTCATCGTGAGCATTTTCGTTGTTCATGGCTAATATACTCTGTTGTTCATCAATAATGTTCACTGTTGTCAACTGTTCATCGTCATCATTCTCCTCTCATTTTGAAAAGCTGCAAAGAAAATTGAATTAGTATTTTTGATATTATCATGTAACGAATAACATTCGAATACAGTATACAATAATATTTTTGAGAGAAGGGGGAAGGGAACTATCAGGGAGAAAGCACCAAGCCATTGCGACTATATAGCACTGGGAAGGGGTCAGGATAAGGATTTGAGACGGGACGGGGGAAAAGGAATGGTGCCCAACCACTTGGACAGTCGGGGATTGAACGCCGACCTGCAGAGGCGAGACCGATGCTCTACCGTCCAGTCCAAGTGGTTGATAATTAAATAATTTATTTATTTAAGTAATGTTCATGATATTTAATGTTGTTGTTGAGATCATTGTTGTATTATTGAGAGAATAATAATATTATTGATAATAGTAATAATAATAACAATATTATTATTATTATTATTATTATTATTATTATTATTATTATTTTTATTATTACTGAAGGTAAATGAAAGATCCCATTTATGTTGAGGTGTATTAAAAACCAGCAGATACATTACTTTGAGAAACGATGTAGGTTACACCCGAAAATTTGTTTGACCAATAAACTCGCCCTTTGGGTTCAAAATTTAAAAAATAAGCACCTTCATTTAAGCATTGCGGCATTGTAGTAAGTTCCTCTATTATTATTATTATTATTATTATTATTATTATTATTATTGTTGTTGTATACAAAAGTATGAGGGAATCCTGGAGCTCTTTAAGGAACGAGGCTTTGATCTACTAGCTAGGCTTGTTTGATAAACTATTTTAATTTATGTCGAATATGAGTTGCACAGCAGTCCTGTGACGCACTTCACATGAAAACGAGACTGCTCCAAATGGCTGGGTGTCTGAGGCAATGATTTATAGAAATGGCGGCAGCAGCAGCAAAGGGCTGAAGTGGAAGAGTTGCTAAAGTCCTCTCTCTCTCTCTTTGGCGAGTCTGTACTGAGCGTAGAGGCACTGTGAGCACGGACCCCTGCGTGAGGTTGTCCTTTTGTGACAGGGTTGAAGGGGTAAATGTTTTACTAAAAAAAATAAAGGCTTTAGGGTACAATTGTGCGTGGTTTGTTAATATGTTAACACAGAATTGTCGTCCTTGCAACAATGGAATATTTTTGAGGCATGAATTCCGAGGTTTACCTCGTAGCTTATCGCTCTCTCGCTCTCTTATTTGTCTAAAGACAAAATAAAACAGGAATTAACATGAACTAATCATTGTGCCTTTAAAAGATATAACAGGTTATATATCGTTTTAATAATGATAAAAATTTGCCATTAAAAATTACTAAGTAATTATAAGAAACTTAACAATTATGTTGAAGGAAGTGTTGCATCTGCCGGGAGTGCAACAGCAGCGGTATCAAGACGAGGAACCGAAAACAAAATTATACAAACAAGCGGAACGCTGCAAGGAGAAAATAATTTTGTTTCTTTTAAATAATGACTACAAAATGAGTAAGGTGCCTGGTTTTGAAGACGTTTAAAGATTATGAATAATTGGATAGTTTGGTAATTGATAATTGTTTCTATATCGGCTCGTTTATCACCAGCACAATAAATTCTCGTGAATTCTACCCACCCCATCCTCTCCAGCATTCACAACCTCACTATAATGATGTACTAAATTGCCCGAACTTAACCAAACCGAGGACTCACAACAAAAAACGGGATATCACGTCAGTTTTGCGAACCGCCATGATTTTTATTACACCTTACTTTGACGTTGAGGATTTTTACGTCAAAATACTATGTAGAGGACAGAGTGACCATCACAGGCCGACGACACTGTTACCACCATCATCACCACACTGGTGCCACCACCACCACCTCCACACTGCAACCTCCATCACCACCATACTACTACTACCACCATCACCACCAACATCTAGGCGCCCAACACCCCAGCCACCACCATACAACACTAACAACAACACTTCAATCTCCACCCGCTGAGACAAAATTTCAAAAGCGATCTAATATTATTTTCTTCTATTACCGTGCGAGTATACGAGGCACAGTTTATACGAAATGTACGTATTTATACGAAAAGCTTATACGAAATGAGAAGTTTGAGAAGAAAGGTGAAGCCTAGGATTCAGCATATGTGAATAATAACATTTTATCTTGCTCTTATGTGTGGTTATTATTTATTGGGATAGTCCCATATAGTTTGTTTTATCATTATATTATTATTGCTGGTATGTAGTTAGTAAATTAATATGAGATTTACAGTAGACATTTCCCTTTCTGTTACCTACTTTAGGCCAAACAGCATGTCGTGCTGTTGCCAACCAATCTGGAGGTTAATGGTAAAGATGTTTCTGTTTTGAGTGTATTGCTATCGTTAGACTATGGTCGTTTGTGTACCCTCTTTTGAGCAGGCTTGTAGCCGTGATTTTATTGTCAGACAATTATATTACCCCCGCTTCCCACAAAGCCTATACTCACTTCAGTGTGAGAAGCACAGCTTCTCTAGAGCGTTCCCAATGTCATTAAACTGATGTGTACTTAATTAAGTACATCAGTTTAGTGTGCTAAACTAAAGTGTGCTGGAACCACACTGAGTAGGCCTCTAGCAGGTTGCTAAAGTAGCAATTTGTAATTATTTAATTTCTAAGTCATTATTTATGTGAGATATATTGATGTGTTGTTTAGAGTTCCCTGTCTTTAACCTTTTCTGTAATTTGCCATGAATGTGACTACAGGGAGAGAGAAACACAGAGAATCAGAGAAGGAAAGGGAGAGAATAACGATGACAAGAGGGTTAGGAGAGATTCAAAGACATCAAGCATGATACCAGAACTAAGACAGGGTAGCTGGGTTTTGGATCTTACTGTCGGCTCGACATAAACTCACAATTCTGGCAAGTGTGGTGGCCGACGCAGGGTATACAGAGCGGTCTTGTGAGACAATAAAGCGCAGGAGGTATAGCATCATGTCACAGTGCATAAAGCAACGTGTAGAGCGGTGAGCCTGGCGGTGCTGCCAGACAAAGATTGCTGTTACGTTGCTTTTAATGCAGCTGCGAGTGTGTGTGTATGTGTATGCGTGTGTTTGTGTGAAGTGTATGTGTATGCGTGTGTGGCGAAATTGAGCGAATACACACATCAGGTCTCGACCCTTGTGTTCAGACGTGTTTCTCTAGTGGAAAATAATAATCTTTACTCAGCAGCATGTGCGCTATGTATCGCCCAGCATGTCACAGCTGCATACTCTCACATGTCTGACATGACAAGTTGATCAACAGATACTGGCAGTTTTCTCAGTGTGCCATTGTTATGACGGCAGCCTAATGCAAGTTGGGATGTTTCTCGGCTGTGTTGTTGTTCCCGACACAACAGAAGCGAACGTCATTACCATATGCAGGTTAATACAGCATTGTATGTTTGTCCAGAGGTGAGACGACATTACTTTCACGGTACCATACACATGTGCATCGCCATACACACACACAGCCACACACAAACGCATGTGCGTGCACCATCTCACACTCACACACACACACACAACCTCTTGTCCATGCATTAAAAAATGCGACGTAGCAGCTCATCATATGATTACCACATTAAATTTTTTCAGGGAATTTATATGGCAGATAAGAAAACACTGTTTATCACAGGTGGTACTCACACAGGGGGACACAGGTGGCATCTTATAGGTCCCAAATGAGCCACAAAGACATTAGAAAGAATTTGTTGAGTGTCAGAGAAGTTAATAAATGGATTGCATTAGGCAGTGATGTGATGGAGGCAGACTCCATACACAGTTTTAAAGGAAGATATGATTTAGCCCAATAGGCTCAGGAACCTGTACACCTCCACTGGTATAATTAGCAATGTTAGATGCTATACATACATACATACATACATACATACATACATACATACATACATACATACATACATACATACATACATACATACATACATACATACATACTTACATACGCGTCACACATCCCATGTTCAGGGCTTCAAGCTGTTTTGAGGCAGCTGTTGGGCAGTAAGTCACGTGTCTGGGACGCGCCTGCTGCTACACACACACACACACACACACACACACACACACACACACACACACACACACACACACACACACACACACACACACACACACACACACACACACAAGGGAATTGACAGGGTTGATAAAGACAGGCTGTTTAACACAAGGGGCACACGCACTAGGGGACACAGGTGGAAACTGAGTGCCCAAATGAGCCACAGAGATATTAGAAAGAACTTTTTTAGTGTCAGAGTGGTTGACAAATGGAATGCATTAGGAAATGATGTGGTGGAGGCTGACTCCATACACAGTTTCAAGTGTAGATATGATAGAGCCCAATAGGCTCAGGAACCTGTACATCTGTTGATTGACAGTTGAGAGGCGGGACCAAAGAGCCAGAGCTCAACCCCCGCAAGCACAACTAGGTGAGTACAACTAGGTGAGTACACACACACACACACACACGCTGTTAAGTAGATATGACAGAGCCCGATAGGCTCAGGAATCTGTACACCTGTTGATTGACGGTTGAGAGGCGGGACCAAAGAGCCAGAGCTCAACCCCCGCAAACACAACTAGGTGAGTACAACTAGGTGAGTACACATACACACACACACATACACACAAGCACACACACACACACACACACACACACACACACACACACACACACACACACACACACACACACACACACACACACACACACACACACACACACACACACACACACACACACACACACACACACACACACGTGTGTGTGTATATTCACAAGTAGGTGAATACACATACCTACCCCACCAACCTACTCATCCACCCCCCCACCCACCACCCTGCTATACACTCTAGTACCCCGACGCAGTACCAGTCACCAGCACCACACTCACATCCAGCCTCCGCAGGTAGGGGCCACGACTCAGATCACCCCCAGCAGGTGGCGTGGGAGCAGAACACCTGCGCAGCACCAGGGCAGAGGCCACACTGACTCCACCACAGATGGAGGGGCCTGGGAGGGGGGGGGATCCACACCTGAAATGAACCCCTTCCACCCCTCCCACACCACTATGCTTGCCAAAGGCCTGCTGGTGCCAAGCATCCCGTCCCCCTCACCCTTCTCTCTCGTCTGCTGGGGAGATGAGGGGTAGTCACTGACAGTGTGATGTAAGTAGTGAGAAGACGGCCACAAGAGACGAGGTGTGAAGTTGAGGGTACCACGAAGAGGGTACCTTGACAAGTGTGATGGGAGAGGTGCAGATTCGCGAAGTGAGGAATAGGTACAACGGAGAATGAGGGGAAGAGTGAGGGATATGGCGTCGAGGAGTGAGGGTACATGGTCATATGAGTGGTGAGGATAAGTCTTGGTCAAGTGTGTAGCGGGCGTCAAGTTGGGTGTAGGGATGGTGTGGTTAGCTGAGACGTATTGAGGGGAGAGGCCCTGCGTAAGTGTGACGCTGTGTGGAGTGGGTGTGGTTAGCTGAGACGTAGTGAAGCGAGGACGTGGCCAGGTGGGAGATCATTTACATAGATCAGAAACAAGATAGGTCCCAGTACGGATCCCTGTGGTACCCCGCTGGAAACATCTCGCCACTCTGACGTCTCTCCTATCACTTTGACTGTCTTCTGTTCCTTAACTATTCTCTTATCGACTGGTTCACCTTTCCTGTCACTCTTGCATGTTCTTTCAACTTTTCAGATCATCTCATGTTTTGTATTGTTACGAAGGCTTTCTGGCAGGCTAAAAAGTATATCGTCTGCTCACCATTTTCTGTCTTATCTGATTTTTGTCGCCCAGTCATAGACTTCTGTTATGTTTGTTGGGTAATATTTGAAGTTTCTAAACGCATTCTTATGTAACCTTATAAAAGCTTTTCTCTCAAGATATTCTACGAACCCCTTTCCTACAGTGTTATCTGTCACCGTGAATGGAATGTAAGGATATTGGCTTGCAGTTTAGTGCCTCCCGTCTATCCTTCTCTTTGTATATTCGTACTGTATTATTTTCGTTCAAATATTCTAGTAGCTATTCTGTTTTCAGCGCTGGTGCTTTATTACTTAGCCTCTACTTTTCTCAAATACAGCTACTCCACTTGGTTTCACACCATCCCTCTTAGCTCAAGAACTTTCTGTTGCTCTGTTGTGAAGACCTCCTTGATTATCTATCTAGTTCCTCACACACTTCACTGTCGTTCTCTGTAAATGTGGTCCTTTCCAATTCTCAGTTTCATCACCTGTTCCTTTACTGTTATTTTCTTTCTGATGTGGAAAGAAAACCCAAAAACCAGCTTGGGTTTGGTCTATGTTTAATCTGTTATGTCACTTTTTAAATTGTCTTTCTGATTTTATGTTCATTTTGAGATACCCATAACTGTCCACAAGCTAGGCTCCTTAAAGCTGCGACCGATATCCACCCCCCAAAGAAAGTAGTATTCATAAATTTTAAATGAATTGTGTATTATAAATATTGTTCATACATATGTAGCGAGTAGATTATCCCAATAATATACTCGCTCCAAATGCATTGTTAATATTCCTGTCAACCTTTGGGATCAATGAGGTGAGGCGTTGCCCGGGCCACACGGTGAGGTGTTGCCCGAGCATATAAGCAGCAGAATAGCAAACATTAACCAGTCTACTTTCAAGTGTGGTCTAGAGCAGACACTTGCGAGATACTGTACCGACGCTCAGTGCGCTCAACTCACACCAAAGTATCACCTGTGTACTTCTGTATATTCGACCAAATATATATATAGTATCTTAGTGTCTGTGTTTATTTGTCACCATACTTTACGTAACAATAGAACCGTTACACATAAATTAATATTATTATTATATATTAGAGTTCTATATATACATAAGCATAGGTTAGGTGTTTAGATTCTGTTGACAATTATTTGCATTTCGACAACCTGTCCTCAGGCCAGGCTCGTTAAAGCGGTGGCCGTTCCCCGAGACGCATTAATCAATTTAACATTCTGTACTTTGACTTAAAAATAGGCTTGTTCTCATATATAAACTAGTTAGTCGTAAGTTAGGTTAGGTGTTTATGTTCTGTAGGTAATTATTTGTATTTGAAGCACGTGGGTGAAGCGTTTGGAGAGTTGCGTTTCAAACATTGGTCGTCAGCGAAGCACTGTTTCGAAAAACGTTCGAACGTCATCAGTTATGAGTCTTATGTAGTGTCTTTGGGGATCGGTCGCCGCTTGGACGAACCTAGCCCGACGGTAGGTTGAATTCAAGAGATTGTCTACATCGTTTAACTTACGTTAAACCTATCAAACCTTTTAACCAAGAGATGCCGTACCAATGAAGATTATTTTGAAGACGCTAGTGCTCTCTAGAGTGGAATACTGTTGCACACCAACGGCCCCTTCAAAGCTTGAGGAAATTGTTGACCTGGAAAGCGTGCAGAGGTCATTCACTGCCAGAATCCACTCAGTGAAACATCTAAATTACTGGGACTAAAATGTCTAAATCTGTATTCCCTTTAGCGCAGGCGAGAGAGATACATAATAATTTACACGTGGAAAACAATAGAGGGGCTGGTCCCAAACCTGCACACAGAAATAACACCACATGAGACTAGAAGGCATGGCAGGATGTGCAGAATACCCCCGTTGAAGAGCAGATGTACAATAGGTACTCTGAGAGAGAACTCTATCAACGTCAGAGGCCCGAGACTATTCAACACACTTCCACTACACATAAGGGATATAACTGGCCTACCCCTCGCAGTGTTCAAGAGAGAGAACTCGATAAACACCTCCAAAGGATACCTGATAAACCAGGCTATGATGTAGCCGCGTCCAACAACCTGGTTGACGAGTCCAGCAACCAGTAGGGCCTGGTCGTGGACCGGGCCGCGGGGACCTTGAACCCCACAACAACCACAAGGTAACCGCAGGATAAGGCAAGGTAAGGTAACGTATCAGCGGTCTAGACACTGTTTCAAAGGCGAATGGTTAGATTATGATTATTAGCTAGTTTATGCTAAGTTAGGCTAGAAGGGCATAGATCAGGTGACTGTAAGTCTTACTATATACTGTATTTTAAGGTGCCTCTGGTGTGTCCTTTTTTATATTTTGCTAATCTAATCACCAGGAAATTAAAACCACGCGTTGATACACACACAACTCACAATAGCGTGATGCATCAAATGAACAAATCCATAAGGTTAGATTTTTTACACGTTAATGTTATAAGTTAAACCCTCGTCAATGAAATGTTAATTTTGTTAAAAGAATGAACCATTAAATAATTGAAATTAAACTGAAAGTTAACTATAATTGATATTTACAATTTTCTTTCACTAACGTATTCATACTTTCTAAATTTGTAACGAGGAACTGCAGTTGCTCGAAACGCTATGCGTGCTAGTGGCTTTACAAGAATGTAAAATCATCAATGCTATGTACTCTCATAAACCCATTGAACCTTCTTGTATATATACTCTATATAAATAAAACATTAATAAAAAGTTGGCAAAATTTGAACCAGGAAGTACTGTAATTAAATCAGAGCAGACCGCAAGTCAGGGGAGAGATCTGGAGCGCCATCTCTTGACAGCGGGTAAAGTTATTAATTCAGGCGACCACCACATGGCGGCAGTGTTATCGTAGCCAAGACTGTCAGAATGCTTCGCCGTTTCCCACATAAGAGATTTCGGATATATATATATAAAATGCTTCAACACATACCTGGAAACTATATAATTATTGTAAAAGCATAAAAAAGGGGGAAGCCGGACTGGTATTTTTTTTGTTTTGTTTTTGTCGTAAAAAAAGAAGTGAATTGCGAGCGGGAGAATCTTGTGTAAGTTGGAGCCCATCAGATGACTGCTGCCTCCAGCACCAGCCCATGATAATGCTCTTTCCTCTGCTGCGAGCGCCTCTCTCACTTAACTTCACCGCTTGTCACAATACATCGCTTACACCTTAGTTTTTTCTTACCTCTAATCACTCTTAATTATAATTTAAAATAATTTTTAATCGTCGTGTGACTTGTTTAAAAGTTAGTTTATATATATAGCGTAAATAATGAAAATAAATTTGTAAGGAATATTATTTATTTTAGATGAGAGATAAGCAGGTGAACGATAGTCACAGGAAATAAACGAAGGGGTCGTTTGGTGGTGGGGAGGGGGGCCGGGGCGAGTCTGTCTGCCCCACTGGACTTCTTCAGTAGAGGCGACACTGAGGATCAAGGCGTCCGCCACTGCCGCCGCTCCTGTCTCAACACTTGCTACTTTCCTCTCATTTCTTGTCACTTGCCCTGTTCTTCGCGTTCCCTTTTCTATCTTTATTTCCGTCGCTCTTGTTTCTATTTCATATTCCTATCGTACTTTTAATTCCACATCCAATCTTTAATGCCCCTTTCTGTTCTTCATCGTTCCCCATCTTTATCAGCAGTTCCCTGTTATTAATTTTTTCCCATCTTTATCACCAGTTTCTTGTTATTCGTTCTGTTTACCATCTTTATCATCAGTTCCCTTGTTCACGCATCTTCATTAGCACTTTCATTTTCTTTGTTCACTTCTTTCTTTATTTCCGTTATTTTTCCGTCCATTCTTGACAGTTACTGTAATAAATGAATTCGACCATATTTGCGACATGTGTCTCGACCCACGACAAAACTCACGTGTTAAATCTGTACTAATATTCGTAACCTATCAATGTGCTGTAACAACCGTCTGAATGATCTGCTTACAAACTTCTCTGTTTAAATTAGCAACACAACTAAGCCTATACTCGAAGCGCAGCACCATCGAAGATGAGATACACTGGATACAAGAAATGCAATATATGGTATCGTTGTTGATACGGTGGAATGCCATAGAGTTATTATTGATATGATAGTCCCCCTAACACCCACTAGTCACCCTGCAAAGCTTAATGAGGCTACCGCACGAGCGTTTGACCTCCAAACTTGGGCAGACAGATAAACAGACGTCCTATATTTTATAGACAAAAATACGAGGGAATTACTCAATATACACAACATAAGCATTGTGTAGTATTGGCTTCAT